TGGGTTTATTTTTCCCGTTCGATATCGAGTCTTGAAGGATCCAGGTCTCTAATAGCTCATCATTCACGAATTGAAAGTCAGTTCTAGATCAGCGTTCGCGATAACACGTATTAAGAGGTAAGTTCGCGAAATAAAGTACTCGCGAAATCTACGCGGTTTACCTGATATAGTTTTAATAGGCACTTGGCTCAACTCTAACTAATCATCAAATTCATCTTAAGCATGTAAAGGTCATATTGACTTGTGTGTCTTTTGTACATGTTTTGTGGTTGTAAATGACTGACACTGCTGATGGACTTTAAATCTTCGATGTCTGTCGCAATCTGCTTGGTACTTTTAAAAGCATTCGAAACAAGTTCGGGATATATAAAATGCTCATACATTTCATATTATTATGAAAGTGATTACTTAGAGGTTATTGAACCTCTTCAGGTGATTTTGTCCAGTTTGCATGTTCCTCGATCGTCTCTTTCCTATCACCAATTTTGCCATTCAATATCACTGACGAGTCCTAGAGAGGAAGAAAGGAAGAAAATGTATGACGCAGTTTAATACATCATTTGGTTCTATGATATACAAATCTAAATCTGACATGCGACGAAATTATGCCATTGACTCGTAAAATTTTATAGGTTTGTTCAACTAATTGAGATCAACGAAAACAGTTCATCGGAGGCTTGAATTAAAAAAATGTACAGTGAAAAATGAAAAAAAATCAACTAAGAAAAATTATTGCAGTACAAAGCTTGCAATACTGTTGTGTAATTTTACTGTTATATAATACGTTATTCACATGACTGTCACATACTCTGTGAAGACATTTTTGATATAGAATTACATAACATTCTGAATATTGTTACGTTCCGCAAATAAGATGATTAGATAAATATATGAACCATCAATATAATTACATTTAAAATAGATTTGACAACGTGATTGGATCTATATTCAATCGTAAATATTATAATTACAAACATATATTTGACATACGTAAAATATACACTGTAACATAACGTTCCAATGTACAGTTTCAAAATATGTTTTATATTCCAGCGAACCATATTTTGAAATGTTTTTTTCTCAAATTTCGTTCGTTTTTAGAAAAGCTTTATTTAAGTCATCATAATTCAACAGTTCATGGCACATTAAACAAAACAAGTGTTGTTATGATGAGACCGAATCCCTCTTCACCGTCTTGATGCTGGACCAACATCAGCGATTCAGGGTAATGGGAAATGTTAATCCTTTGTATATTAAATACACGGATTACGTTATCTCGTGTCATCGACATGTTTGGGAGAGATTGGCAGGAAGCTCTTGGCTAAAAGAATAACAAACACGCTGTGTCAAAACCGTAGGCGATGGCAGAACGTCAAGCAGAAATACACCTAATCCACACACCAACTTTTTCTTTTATATAAAATCAAGCTATTTCCTCTTGATATATAAATCTTACCTGGCGGGAAGTTTGTGACGAAAGCGGACCACTTTCATAGACATTCGTGACATGTTATTTAAATTTCAATCCTTATTTATCATATGATTTTCTGCTAAACCTCAGTACTTCAATATAATTGATATGCAGTATATAGCTACAGTTATGCTGGAAAACTGACCAATCATTCACGAGATAAATAGCGCGTGGCCGATTGTGACCATCTAAGATAAGGCTGTCTTTTAAAATCCGTTCAGCGTTGAACTTAAATTAACTGTATGATGTATCTACTCAAGTTTTGTATAAAATGGCAAAGAGACCACAAATTAACATTTTTATCTCATATCATATAAAAAAAATATCACAGTAATTTGATAACTTTATGATATTTGTATTATCATTCCATATCCATGGTATCGTGTTTATAATATCAACAAGCGTATTTTTTTCCGTTTAACTCAGACAAGTAATTCTCTAGATATAGGAACATTGTAATAGAAATAGGACGAATGATGGCACACTGTAGGTATGTTCCCTCGGTAGCCCCTAGCTAGGTTTAATTCTAACTTATGGTATCCCTGCTCTATCCAATATGACTTATTATTTCCTCGTCCCCACAGGTGCGTGTTTAACCCCGAGTATTTTTGAGGGGAAAAGCGATTTCTTAATGGATGTCTTAACGAAAAAAAAATCTTAACTGTAGTGGGAGGGAATTCAAAAATAGCGGGTAGGAAGAGGGACATTAGAGATGCATGATGTGTGGGAGAACTAGGGAAATATAATTATGGCAAGGGGTGATATTTCTTAGGGAAGGGAAAACACTATCTAGACTAGGCTCTGTCCCACATGTTAACATTGTTTAGATATAGATGCCTTATACACACTTTCCCGTGTACATCAATCATTTGTCTCTTTCTGGCAGTAAACATAAAGAAAAGTCCTATATGTAGGGCCAATTTCAGGTCATTATTGTGCTAGCCGAAAAAGTCATAGTCTAACACTAAAATAGGAAGGAAGTAGACTTATCAAAAAGAATTCAATAACTGTGTTTTTGTTTGTTTTTATTTTCTTTTTAATTTTTATTTTTTATTTATTTATTTTTTTTGGGGGGGGTGGGGGGGCGAGAGAGGGGAGGGGGGAAGTTAATGACGCAGTGGTAACACAATCGCCTGTCGTGTAGTCGTCCGGGGTTCGATTCCCGGAATGGACGTGAACAGGTTGGGGGTTACCTGTCCGACCACATGGATTTCCCCCACGTGCTCCAGTTTCCTCCAACAAAAAATACACCTCGTGATATATGATTCATCTACCCTTGTGTGTCATATAAAGATGATTTTTCCATAGCCCTCGATAACGAGGCAATTTAGAGATATGCTTCATTTAACACAGACTTGAAGTATTAGTAGTTTTCTATAGGATTTGCTATGCAACTAGGCAGTTCTCGTCTGAGTTCGACAAATTTCTTTCTTCACACTGTCCACTATTTCCTCTGCCAACAGTCGGATGTAATTGTCTTAAATTCAATATACTATGTCATGTTTATACATTTATGTTATAGGCAAAGTATGTCTTTGTGAGACGATAGCGTGTAGTAGTGACAATCAATAGCAATGGTATAGTAAGTGCCACACCAGAGTTTAGATACAATGAGGGACAGTGGTTATATCATTCCGCAATTATATTATATTTAGAATCATTATTTTCTGGATATTAGAGCACTGTAGACTGACTGTCAAACTGTATATACAGTACAGCACAAGACCTTACAATACATTACAGTATGGAACAGTGCAGCACGTTAAAGTATGGTACAATACAATATTACACATTACAGTCCATTACTGTACGGGACGGTACAATACATTACAGTAAAGTCCAGGACAGTACGGTACAGTACAGACCGCTATAATACAGTAATGAATGCTACAGTATGGTAGGTAAAGTACTGTACAGTATGTTACAAATTAATGCACTGTACTTAACTTACATTTTTAACCCTTATTTTTTTAGTTGTTCTAGTTTAAGTTGTATTTCAAACAAAGCAAAAGAGGTATATATAGAGACAATTCAGGTACTTTATGGTCCCTAAATGTAATTAAAAAACAAAGAAGATACCGATATGTCAGCATAGTCTGAATTCAAACTCGGCTCCAATGAAACCATAACGACATATGAACAAATGAAAGATGAACACAACGACTCTTGAAAGGGGTTTGATGATAATACGGTTCAGAGGTGAGTTAGAGTTAAGTGATGAAAAATTCAATTCATATGTAATATAATAAAGAATGCTTCCGATATTGTTAAACATGTATTTGAAAATTTTCACTTACCACTGGTTATATCTTACCATACTTTGAACAACCAGGTATCAGGTGTTACAGAATCGCAAGCGTCTTTTGGTTCATCGACAGCACCCACTATGTATTTTTTTTCCAATCCCAGTAAGTAATTCCACATTCCCAAAATAAAACATCGAGAATATATTTTTGATATTTTACAAAATATATAAACAATATTCATGAAGTACTTGCATACCTTTTTAACAAAATTCCATTCATTCCTTATACTCATCACAACTCTTCTATTCCGTTCACAGATATAGTTTACAAGACATTTACTTATCAAAGGATTCCCTTACAACCGTTGACTTTAGTCTGGGTTCTTTCAAACAGAAAACGACACAATATAATATAAACAAGCCCACGATTCAATCAACACTAGTCTTGTCCATTTAACCGCCTATTCATTATATCACTGTGTGTTCTCAGCACAAAGAACCGAGGTTCGATTAGATCCGAGTTGTAAGGCTCACATATTCGTATTTATATTTAATTTGTCTATGAATTAAATTTTATTTGCTCTCACCTGTTAACTCGAAAATCACGTCTTCTTTGTGTAGCAGTAGAGCATTTAAACGCTTGAATAGCATCACTATTGAAAAGCCTTCAGTGTTCACAGCGACATCTACACTGTTCGTCATTGTCGTAGGGGAGTTTCTATTATGAAGCGTTTACATACGGGTTTGTACATTATTCATAACTAAATCATTTTGACGGTCTCTATGCCTTTTGTATATCACTGTTTATAATATGATGGGTTGTTTTGAACTACAAAATATGAGCAGCCATTTTGTAAAATGAGTGCAGAAACAGTGGTTGATTTTGAATTAATAACGGGGACATATTTATATATTGATCATGGAGGTAAGACTGCCTTTTCTTACTATGTTGATAAACTTACTCATTAGATGATAACTGATATTAACTATTTCAAAAATTTAAAACTATACAAAAGATACCAATAGATTGAATTATTCATTTTTGTTTTGTTTGTTTTTTTTTGTCATCGAGTGACAACAAATTCGGCCCCTGCGCTTGTTATAATTGTGTAAAATATATAAAATGTAGATTACCACAAAAGACAAATAGACTTTTAGTGAAACTAAACATGATTATAATCATGTAGTTGTTACGAGATAAGATATCATTACTTGAGACGATTGGTAACTGGGATTAAGTATTGCTTTCTGAAAGTAAAAGCGACGTTCTTTTTCTACTTGCAGGAAGTTATATTGATTTAGGCAGAACCATCCGACTTGAGAATGGTAGGGCGAAGTACTGAGGACTTTCTGACTTGTCACTTATGTAAGAAATATTACACAGACCCAAGATACCTTCCATGTCTTCACACCCTGTGTAAGAATTGCATCACTCAGGATGTCTACGACAACACTGGTAATTCCGGGAACTATGCGTGTCCGTTGTGTTTTAAACCTGCAGGATTTCCCCAAAGTATTGCTCCACAGAATGTCATTGAAAATCTTCCAGAGAATACGATGGTTTCGGGAATGGTGGACGTAGTTCTGGCGAGAAATTCTATGAAAGTTGCGTGTCAGCCATGTTCAAGAAAGAACAAGTCCGTTAATGCTACTCATTGGTGTCGCTTCTGTAGTGAAACTCTGTGTGACGATTGCACTGGTTTCCACCAGTCGCTGAAGAAGACAATGAGACACCATGTCATGGATCTTGCAACGATGAGGAAGATGTCGATCCGAGACATGATGGCTCCGCCCACTTGCAAATATCATGAAGACGAGGTTCTTATGCTTTACTGTGACGACCACGAAGAGCTTTTGTGCAATATCTGCACTGCGACGCGTCACCGGAAGTGCGGAAGTGTCCGTGATGTCCCGGAAGTCTTGGAAAGCAAACAAAATGGCGTCAAGGCACTACAGGATAGACTAAGCGAACAGACTCGTGGGGCTGAGTATGTTGCAGATGACAGAGAGACGGCAGTCAAGCAGATGGACAACAACATGGCGTCAGTTCTGGATGAAGTAAAATCTCTCAGAAAGAGAATCAACGGCATGCTCGAAAAATGCGAAACGCAACTTGCTACAGAACTGAAAGACATTGGATTGCAAGAAAGAGAGAGGTTAAATGAGCAGGTACGAAATGCACAATCGCTTTTAAGCGCTGCAAGCAACTCCAAAGAAATACTGAAACAATCGAAAGAAAACGGTGGCGACATTCACTTCCTTAACTGGATGAACCAAGTTGAAAATGCTGTAGACGACTTTTCCGTGAGATTTCGAGGTATAAGTACGGACATGTCAAAACGTAATGTAACTTTCATTGCTGACAACAAACTGACCAGTCTGGCACAAAATATAACAAAACTCGGCACAATTCATGTAAACAATCCATCTAGTCCAGTACATTCGAAATCACAAAGATCCAAGGCTTCGTCCGCGAGGTCGAAATCTTTGTCCTCAAGATCCAGCAGCATTGTTTCAGACAGGTTACTCAGGAGGAAAAGCAGAACAAGATCATTGCTAAGAGAGCTCACTCCCTATGCCGATTCAGTCTTTTACGGTGACGACGAAGGAAGAAACTTCCTAAAGTCCCGGAAATCTACTTCACTACGTCCGGTGTTTTCGGCACGGACTCCCTCTGACATTCTTCCCTGCTGGTTAACAGGTATCGCTCAACTAAGTAATGGATTATGGATGTTTGCAGACAAAAACAACAAGAAACTCAAACTCTTTGACTCATACTTCCAGTTCAAATCCGAGAGAATCCTACGAGAAGAGCCGTTTGATGTTGCCTCTATTGGTCATGGTGAATTCGCTGTCACAGTTCCCGATGCTCGGGTGATCGAATTTTTCCTAACCGTCAATGACATTAGTCCGATTCGGACTATAAAGTCTACAGAAAAGTGTCACGGAATTAGCATAGCGTTCGATAAGATTGCAGTCACGTGTTTGACCATGTATCCTCCTGCCGTGAGGGTCCTGATGAAGGATGGTACTCTACTGCATCATATTGCCCCGGAGGATGGTTTTCGCCCCCTGCTTCTGAAACCCCTATATGTCACTTGGGATAGTGGCGGGAGATTTCTGTACGTTTCTGACACACAAAAAGACCGTGTGGTGTGTTTGGACGCGTCCAAAACCATGAAATTTGAGTACCGACATTCTTGTCTTGCGTCACCCCGGGGAATAGCCCGTGGGGAAGGGGACACGTTTTACATTTGTGGGTGGGGCACGGATAATATACAGCATATCGACAGCCGTGGTGTGCTTATTCATGAACAACTTCAGCGTCATGACGGCGTGATGGGTCCACAAGCAGTGAACATGTCGAACGACAACGAACAGCTTGTGGTGACACTTGACCCGAACAGCTGTAACAGTGACGTCATATTTGTATTTAACACATAAAAACGGTGAATTGTGATTACTTCCTTGTTGATCCAATTAACAGAATTTGTTGTTATTTAGACGGATTCACAAACAATGAAATACGTTGGAATTATCCAGAAATTAGTTTTTAGAAAAAAAAATATTCGTTGTCTTTTACGCCATAAACACATATACTTGCAGACAATTTGCTTATTTTGGAAATTTTGAGCAAATATTACAAAAACGTTGCTATTTAATATTACTACTATTTTATTCGGTGCATCAGTTGAATTTATATATTCACAATAAACTGTAGAATGTACAGTGTGTTTGTTCATGTCATTTACCTTGACATATATACAATAAATCTACTTCGATGATACAGGAGACAGGTAGGTAAAATCTTGCAGTTTCAATATAATTTTAGTATATCTATATTTCCTGTGTGTATTCTCTATTTTGCCTTACCAACAAAACTAACGTTTACACTTCAGTAAAAGTCAAATAGGACAATCATGCAAATATGCAAAATGACCACAAAGAGCATAATATCCTTTTATTCCATATGCATTTTTAACTGTATATAAATATATTCTTGAAGTCATATTCACCGCCATGATACCAAAGACTTGCAATACAGTTTTTACTTACAATATTTTGGACGATATTCATACAAAAAGTTTATTTATTTTTAAAGAAATTTAGGGAAATGATATCTGGTCAGTATCAGCAGGGATGGATATCTTTATTTACTTTAGAAATCGTTCAAATGAATGATACTGGTCCACATTCAGACCACTTACAATAAATCATTATTATTCGAAAATGACAAATTGTTAATTCCCCCAAAAAGTTAACGGTCTGTTTGAGGACGTTAAACAGCTCTGTTCTAGAGAGCTATGGATTTGAATTTCCGAGATAACTATTTTAAATCTCATCAGTGTTTTATTGGTACAGTAGAGTCAAGATTTAAGCCAACATTCCTCAGTGCTAATGGGATGCTCAGGAAGGTTCAACGTTAGATGAGTCAATCTTCTTTTAATTTAACTAAGAAATTGCTTAATCTTATAATACAAGGTCAGTCTAATGCTTGGGTTCAAAGTTCAATCTTGTTTGAAGCCGAGGAGATGTTTTTTTAGTTATTGTTCTTCAGTTGTACAGGATTTTAAGCACATGCGCATGTACCTTGATTGACTGTCATCAATGAGAACAATACGTCACAAACTTCTGGGTAATATTTGGGGTCAGAAATTTGTTTGTTTGCCGGATTTATCGCCCCTTGAACCACTAGGGCTATTTTGAGGTGGGGCTCCTTTTAATAGCTGGTGAATACATTAGTAAACAACATGTTGGATGTCAGTCGCAGAACGTACAGAGCAATTAGTGAGAAATGGCTTGCCTAAAAACACGTCAGCACGGTAGATTAAAAATGAATACTGTTGGGTTTTTTTTCAAATACATTTGACTGACTTTCAAAACATGTTTTAAGATCAAAGAGATCAAACGTGTTAAAATCGAACTGAATATCATGCCTAGTTAAATTTATGCAAATGCACATTTTGCTGAAAACAGAACTATAACGTTAGATTAGTTTTTTAACAGGTAGTATTACCAAAGTCATGAAAACAGAATTAAGACAGAACAATATGCAAACAGATATCGTTTTTGTGAAAATGAAGCCTTATAACATGTTTAAATATGCAATAAAGCAAATGACACACTATATGGCCATCAGAGGAAGTCAAACGAGCAGGATAATATCGACAAGGACTAAATACAATAAGATAATCTTAAAATGTGTGACATTTCTGTTAAGAAATAAGATATTCGTACAACTTTCTTGTCAATGGCTTTTTTTTACGTTTATTCTGGTACAGAATTTTGACATTCCTATTCAATAGACTCAGAAGTATACACAATACGATAAAAAGATTTATTCGAATGCACAGTGCTTTCTTTATTTTATCATTTTATTTTGGTGTATTTGCGGACGATAGGGGTATTTTTCTTAAAATAAAGAGTCCGAAGCGATCATTGTAAGGGAGACAACTTCTACAAAATATCTTGCTTAATACTCACCAGCTGATATCAATATCTTCTGGTCATTTTGCTTATATTTCCTGTTCCAGTTAGTGCTATGACGAATTTATTTAAACAAGGACACGACAGCCCTTTAATAATCTTAGTTGTGCAACATGCATCAATGTAAACAGTGGACAGAGATAGTAATGAACTTGTGTGACTGGATTTACACACGCAGCCCTGCCCTCCCACCGTTTTGTTCTGTAACTTTGAATATCAATCCCGGAAGACCAGTTGCCTTATTCATTGTGTACTGATGAAGATGTTGCATTGTAAAGAAAGATTTGGTAGAAAACGTAATACATTTGTGTGTGTATTTATTAACTAAACAGTGGAAACATTTGTATAAATGACATTGTTATGTGACTGCAGTAGCAGCTATATTTTACCAAGTCAACACCGGTTGGGTTCTCGTTACTCATGGTAAGTTTAAGGGGAGACGAAACACGTTGTCCAACCCCAATTTAACACCGCGAGGACAGCTGATCATCTCAAATGTGAAAAGTCTAATATTGCTTTAAAGTTTGTCCTTAAATGCTGGATTGAAGCGTGAATTAGCCATATGGTAACATCAATAAATAAGGGCTCTACTTCTCTAGAAATAGCCGTCAGAAATCAAACTGTACAAAATCCAAGATGGCTACACATCGGCCATTTTGTAACTGATTCCAAAAATTGGTCGATGTGCAGCAAGGGAGCTAAGGCTTCACTTTGGTTTTTATACTGCGTTTTATTACAGTTTAATGGTGCTTTTCCTATGTATATGACGTGAGTACATGTTTTTGAATATCATAGTATCTGAGTTTGTGGGAGATAGGATATTTTCTTTTCTTTCTTCCTCTTCTCCGATATGTGCCAACAATTCTATGAAATTTGAAAGTGTCTCTAAAAGAAATAGTGACAAAATCGGGAGAGGACCTCTCACATTAGATTTGATAAAGGTCCATGTGGCACTCCTCGAGAAATCTTGATAACAGGCATTCATAATCAAAATCTAAGATGGCCGCCTGCTAGCCATTTTGCTTTTCTGATCAGTTCCAAAGTCAACCGAACACAAATAGAGATCAGAAAACATACGTATCAAATTAAAGATTTGTTAATGGAAGGGTAGAAGGTCAGATCATGATTGGAACAGTCAACCATCAAATGGTAGGCAAAAAATCCAAGATGGCGACCGCTCAGCCATTCTCTTTTCCAGATCAGCCAAAACTTGGACAATGTACTGCAACTAGGGACTCCATGCAACTTAAATATGGAATTTGAGAATGATTCCTTCAGTACTTCTAATGAAATATTGAAAACATATATACTAGTGTAAATGCATGTACAAATACATAGGAGAACAAACTGTGATAGAAAAATGAAGATTTGTATAGACATGTCAATGAATAACTATAACTATTTAAATCCAATCTTTTTCTGATCAGTCAAACATGTACACTGGACAATGGCCACATGTCGGCCCCATTCTTTATCTGATCAGTCAAACATGGACACTGGACAATGGCCACATGTCGGCCCCATTCTTTATCTGATCAGTCAAACATGGACACTGGACAATGACCACATGTCGGCCCCATTCTTTATCTGATCAGTCAAACATGGACACTGGACAATGGCCACATGTCGGCCCCCTTTTGTCCTGATCAGTCAAACATGTACACTGGACAATGGCCACATGTCGGCCCCATTCTTTATCTGATCAGTCAAACATGGACACTGGACAATGACCACATGTCGGCCCCATTCTTTATCTGATCAGTCAAACATGGACACTGGACAATGGCCACATGTCGGCCCCCTTTTGTCCTGATCAGTCAAACATGGACACTGGACAATGGCCACATGTCGGCCCCATTCTTTTTCTGATCAGTCAAACATGGACACTGGACAATGACCACATGTCTGCCCCATTCTTTATCTGATCAGTCAAACATGGACACTGGACAATGACCACATGTCAACCCCATTCTTTTTCTGATCAGTCAAACATGGACACTGGACAATGGCCACATGTCGGCCCCATTCTTTTTCTGATCAGTCAAACACGGACACTGGACAATGGCCACATGTCGGCCCCCTTTTGTCCTGATCAGTCAAACATGTACACTGGACAATGGCCACATGTCGGCCCCATTCTTTTTCTGATCAGTCAAACATGGACACTGGACAATGACCACATGTCGGCCCCATTCTTTATCTGATCAGTCAAACATGGACACTGGACAATGGCCACATGTCGGCCCCCTTTTGTCCTGATCAGTCAAACATGGACACTGGACAATGGCCACATGTCGGCCCCATTCTTTTTCTGATCAGTCAAACATGGACACTGGACAATGGCCACATGTCGGCCCCATTCTTTTTCTGATCAGTCAAACATGGACACTGGACAATGACCACATGTCAGCCCCATTTTTTATCTGATCAGTCAAACATGGACACTGGACAATGACCACATGTCGGCCCCCTTTTGTCCTGATCAGTCAAACATGGACACTGGACAATGGCCACATGTCGGCCCCATTTTTTTTCTGATCAGTCAAACATGGACACTGGACAATGGCCACATGTCGGCCCCATTTTTTCCTGATCAGTCAAACATGGACACTGGACAATGGCCACATGTCGGCCCCCTTTTGTCCTGATCAGTCAAACATGGACACTGGACAATGGCCACATGTCGGCCCCATTCTTTTTCTGATCAGTCAAACATGGACACTGGACAATGGCCACATGTCAGCCCCATTCTTTATCTGATCAGTCAAACATGGACACTGGACAATGGCCACATGTCGGCCCCATTTTTTCCTGATCAGTCAAACATGGACACTGGACAATGGCCTTATTTCGGCCCCTTTTCTCTGATCAGTCAAACATTGACACTGCAAAACCTGTGATTTGTAACATACTGATTACCTATTATATCACACATAAAAAACACCAATGCTTAGTTGTTTTTATCTTTTATTATCACATCATTAAACAATTCCAAATCAACAACAGAATAACATACAATCTAAAGCTGCACCATAACATAAAAAAATAGATTTATGTTGCAATATCTTAAATAAAGAAAATCTCCAACATTAGATCAGAAATCGCATTGATATGTTATTCATTGATGTGATCTGTGGACCGATTTATCCAGTTTTTTTATCGTAAAGATACATTAATGCTAGAGGCCAATCACCTGTTTTAATCAGCTCACATAAACAAGACACTTCATTCAATACAAAAATAACATCAGCACAACAAGGGTCAAAATGACCTAGCATTTTTATACCCATGTTAGGTGGTTAGGTGGTGAAGTAGTAAACACTCCCCTTTCACCTAGGTGATGGAGGTATGATTACCCAATTAGATGAGAGAAAGTATATTGTTCACCTGCCAGGCCACATAGCTTTTCACCAGATACTCCATACAAGGTTTGGACCTTCACAAGCTTCCATGAGGGTCAACAACAGTGATTGATATAAGATACAGCTTTACGATTGTTGTAAAATACAGGGTATAAATACTGATGTTTAGAGTAGGAGTGTCAAGTTTGGAACACGTTAAAGGCAAAAAAAAAAAAAAAAAACAAAATGAAGCGTCATTAAAATTTTGAACAGTTAAACATGTCATCAAAACTATACAATCACAGTGAAAGATTAATGTACAGTAAATTTTCCCTGAATTTCGAGATAAGTTGACATGTAATTCAATTGATTGTAATCTGAGACTGAAAATAAAATCTGAGTACAGTTCCTGGATAAAAAAGTGATGCAAACATATCTCCAAACCATATCCTGATAATGTATGACAGGAATTAAGGTAAGTTGAATGATAACATTGATCACGGTAGTCAATACAGTTTTGTTAAACACCAATGAAATTTTTTGTTAAGCAAGTAATCCTTGCTTCAGTATTCTTATAACATAATTGCACGTTGGAATTCCAGCCTTGACCTCCAGCGACCTAGGGTTTAACCCTTCAGTTTCCTATGCAATGACCCTTGACCTCAAGAGGCTTGAAGCTTGACCTCCGATGATCTAGAGCCTGTTCATTAATATCTTGTGATTTATAGCTTGGCGCCAGGACTGGCCATCCATTGTGACAATGGAATATTCTGCTCACTAAGCCTCCGTAACAGTAGACTAGGAACCCAGTGCTTGCTGTATGCTGTAATATTAAAAATTGTGTCAATAGATCAATGTCTATATAAAGATGTGGTATTGTACACAATACCAAAAATTTATCCACATATTGTGCATATATTGTCGTAACATATGCACATTACAGTATTTAACACATTTATTGCAGGTTGGTAAAAATGACAGATTTACACTGTATTACCTAACAGAAATTAAACAGAAAGCTGGTACAGTTATGACTAAACAGCAGCATTAGGTAACTTAAATGTTGATCAGTGATGATAACCATCATTCTTTAATTTGAAAATTATTGAAAAACCTAACATTGAGTTAATCAGTGTCTCTAGTGAAGTTTCATGCCTCAGACCGTGGTGAGTATTGTGTCGTGGGGCAATCTAATACTTACGGAATGCTTCATGGTAGTGACAAATCCTGTCATAGATGCGGTCCAGCCCCACCTGACTGGCGTAGTACATGGGACCTCCTAGGTACTTTGGAAAGGTGAAGCCGTATAACCTGTTTACAACACAATCACATGTAACAAAGAACACTTTGTCAATCCCTCAGGCTAAGATAACCAGAAGAGAGGAACTGGGACTGAACACAATAGTTCATATGATCCATTGGCTCAAGTATCTATCCAAATACTACTAAATTCTAAATGGTTGAATATTTCTTTTTATCAACTGCTTTTTTCATCATATTTGTTTATGCTAACAAACATTAATTGAAAGATTATACAAAGTGCATTTATGCTTTGTTAGGTTTATCAATATTTTTCTGTGCCGAAAAATGAGATACTACTTCAAATGCAATAATCATGACAAGGGACATAACTCATTTTTTACTTAACACTCACCAACTGATATCAATATCTTCTGGCCGTTTTGCAATGCCTTCTTCCAATATTTTGAAGCCTTCATTTATACAAGGATACAGCAGCCTCTCTATAATCTCCTGTAATGATATTTAACAGTAACATATGAACATTGCTAAGATCTAAACAAACTTCCTGTGTTCAATATAACAAAAGAGATTTAGCAAAATTATCACAACTTAAAAACTTCATCTCCACGAAATACATATACAAATCACAGTATCTGCTATGTCACTGTTTTATCTTGTTTCCTGAGAAAGGATATATTTACAGGTTGCTTTCAAATAAAATAGAATTCATCCCCAAATGTTACATGTACAAATTAGAACATAATGTGCCTTAAGTGAGGGTCTGTAGTTAATTATCACCTGTGACAAGGGTTGATGTCGTTTGTCTGTCTATTCAGTTTACCAGTCAGGAGAAGTTAAACTCTTCTCTTCCATCCTGATTTACATGTATTTAGATGGCATGCAGGTATTGTTTTGTCTGTAAAGTTAATGTCTGAGAAAAAAGGTGAACTGTTTCATCCTCAAGAGCGTACATATGAGGAGATTGTGCCATGCTCTATCCTGATAAATTTACCTGTGAGGACATGATACATCTGCAATCTTATCCTGTTAGATTTACATGTGAGGAGATGATACACATGCCGTTCTTCCTTGTTAAATCTACCCATTAGGACATGGTACACCTGCAGTTTATTCTTGTTAAATTTACCCATTAGGACATGGTACACCTGCAGTTCTTTCCTGTTAAATTTACCCATTAGGACATGGTACACCTGTTATTACACCCATTCTGATTTACCTGTGACGACATGGTACACCTGGATTTACCTGTGAGGAGATGGCACACCTGTTATTCTATCCAGTTTAGTTTACCTGTGACGACATGGTACACCTGCAACTATACCCATTCTGATTTACCTGTGAGGAGACGGTGCGCCTTTCCATCCCTAGCCTCCTGCAGTGTCTTTCTAACACAGAAATCACCTCATCATCTACAGTGGCTAATTTCCCTCCAGCCTTCTCATACTTGTACCAGCCTTTACCTAAATTTTATAAATTATACAAATACATTTTATCAAGAAATAAATCTGCTTTCATATGAAACCCTGTAATTTTCCTGCAACAATCTGACATTATTACTACAGAATATCTTTGACTAACAACATTACATAACAAAGTGTGAAACAGTCAGCATTAATCCTGCAATATACTGATTGTTGGTTTGATCTAAATTTGCTTTTTTGGTCTTTCAGTGATTATTTGAAATAAATGCATATAACAAAATATTACACTGAAGCTGATAATTGGTGATTTTGTCAGTCCTGGCAAAGATACCATAAATTAAACCATATCTCACCAGATTTCCTGCCAAGTCTACCCATATTTACTAGGGTGGCATTGAGATGACTATAACGGTTTCCACCCACAAAGCGAGTCTCATCTGTAAGTTTAATGCCAAACGTCTTTGCGATCTCTTCAGTTATTTTCACATTGATGTCCAATCCTGAAACAGATTTCTAGATTGATATCAAACCAGTAAACCAAAAGCAATATTATCATACAATTGTCTGTTGGAAGAAGATGAAATAAAAAATTTACCGATAAAGAATGTCTGAGCAACACACAGGTGACATTTTAGAGTTCCCCCTGTGGGGTTCTGTTGCCTATTATTGTATAACCTTTGAGATTCTTTAAGAGTTGGATACTTTTCTTTATTTCAATCTTTGTGCTTGTAATTTGCCTTTAATTATATGTTGAGTTGACAAGTGAATTTATCATTAGGTAACACTAATAAATATAATCAATAACAGTCGTAATTCAAGATGGCTTCCTGTCAGACATGTTGATTTTATTTTAGTTCCAAGTATGCAACACACAACTAAAGTTTATTTTGGTTTAGTGTGGCTTTTCATCAAGGTCATTTGAGGACGTGCCAGCTGCAAGTTCGAGTAGAGGAGGAAAGCTGGAGTTCTTGGAATGAAAAAAACATTGATCTGCGGCCAGTACTTTGCAACTGCCCCACCTAGGCCTGGAATCCTCACCCACAGGTGCAGGGCTAGTGACAATGACAGACACCTTAACTACCCAGTCACTGTGGCCCTTAGTACAAATAATGAGTGAGTGGAACTTTCATATGAAATTTGAGAAAGATCCTTCAAGTATTTATTAAGAAACAGTGAAAACAAACTTTTGAATTTGAATTGTTTGCTGGAATTTGTTTTATAAGTCCAACAATAACCAAGGCATGACTAGGAACCAGGGGGTATTTATGTATGAAATTTGAGACTGATCCATCCATTGCTTCTAAACATGTAGTGACAACAAACTGAGCTTATCAAAATCCCAGACTGTCCCATGTAGGCCATTTTGTTTTTTTGGCAGATCAATTCAAAAATGAAAAAAATCACTACTTGGGACACATCGGGTGCTACATATGAAAGTTAAAAATGATCATTACTTCTTAAGAAATAGCAATCACAAGAATTTTGAAGCACAGATGCAAGTACGAAGGATAGAGAGCAATTTGATATCTTCTCCATGTTTGGAAGGGCTGAAAAGTTCAAGTAACAAGTTACTGCTACCAAATCTGACACTTTCAATTTCACACCAAAAATTTTCACTGTTGCTATAACAAACCTGCATGTTATGAGATTTTTTCAAAATCACTTTGAAGCAATATATTAAAACCTTGACACTTTTGAATCAACCTTAATTTTCATCATAAAGAAATGTTAATAATTTACTGGTACACTTAGGATACATCTAAGTCATAGCCATATTGCCTTGAATATTCTCCTAGTCTGTATATGTATTCATGTATCTTACTCTAGAGAAAGAGACAATCAAGAAATGAGGGTAAAAACATGATGATAACCTCACCTGACAGATCGCGGACCTTGAAGGGCCCCATAGGCATCCCAAAGTCCTCCATCACCTGGTCCACCTCCCATGGCAGGGCCCCCTCCTCCACTAGGAATGTTGCCTGTAGGAACAAGAGGTTTTACTCATTGACAGTAATTAATTAAACAAAACTATAAGAAGTCAATTTTACATATCTATTTTTCAGGATTAAAGAATAACAAATTCTGGAATTATAATTTTTTGAAATTAGAAAATAAATTAGGACATGATCGTTATTTCAAACTAATGTAAACAAAACCATCATAAGTTGAATAAGAAATAATTAAATTATTTTCAATAAATAGGAAAAATCATCAATGATTTTTGTCCTCATAAAGTTATCAAAATTATTCGAATTTTCTTACTGAACCAAAAATTTATTTTTCAAACATGTTCTAAAATCAAGCACAAAATGGCATTCTCATAAGTTAACATTCACAACTCTGGCTTACTGTTTTATTCTCGTTTAAAATCTATTGGCAAGCCATCAACAACCTGCTTACAAGCATATCCATGATAAAAATCAAGGACTTTCGCAAAAATGGGCCTCAGTGGACTAGTACATTTTCTAATAATTTGATATGATTGTTCACATCTTACTTCTGTTCCATATGGTGTATTCATTCTATTAGCAAGGAACCCTTGGCAGGATTTCACGAGAACTGGAACCTGAAAACAAATATAAAATTGGAATAAATGATTTTTTTCATTTACAGTTAGTTCAGTTTGGTTTAACCTCTTCTATGTTCTATTCGCTTCTACAAAATGTACGGTTATTTAAAGACAGTGTTATGTATGCAAGGTGAGTGCATGTGCTGAGTGTTTGTGTTTACGGTAGGCTACTGTATATTGTATTGGTGTGGAAGTGATGATAATCGTAAAGTGCTACCATACTGACATATACTGCTGAAGGACCCCAGCAGGACACCTGATCTAGCTTTATCATACTGACATATACTGCTGAAGGACCCCAGCAGGACACCTGATCTAGCTTTATCATACTGACAATGGATTAACCAGTCGTTACACTACCATACTGACATATACTGCTGAAGGACCCCCAGCAGGACACCTGATCTAGCTTTATCATACTGACAATGGATTAATCAGTTGTTACACTACCACAGCCCTGAGTGTTAAGTGGTAAGTAGTACTTTGTATCTATAATATTTATTTAAAAACTCCAATAATAATGTCTTCACCAAGGACAGACACAAGGCCTTTTTGGCAGGGACGAACATTCATGACAAATAATTAAAATAATATAAAGAGCAAAAGTTAGCAAGGGAGATATTTGGGGAAATAAAACAGTTGTTTAGAAAGAACACAACAGAAAAATATAGGGTTTTAACTAATGTTTTGTTAAAAAGGATGATAGATAATACCATATCTATATTTCGTTAAACCCATCGTAGCAACATATTACCTTTGACTCAAAGTCATGGGTTGGGCTTATTACAGGACTCGAGGAGGCCAAGACATTAACTCCAGCTCAAAGTCATCAGACAGGCTTATTACAGGAATCAAAGAGATCAAGATATTAGCTCCGAAATAAAATGAGGAGTGGGCTTATTACAGGACTCGAGGAGGCCATGACATTAACTCCAACTCAAAGTCCTGGGATGGGCTTATTACAGAAATGAAAGAGGCCAATACTTTATTTCTGAAACAAAATCAGGGGTGGGCTTATTACAGCACTCAAGGACTTCAAAAGACATTACTTCTGACTTATAATCAGGGAATGAGCTTATTACAATGAAATAGTTGTTGGAGAATGTTATTGAATAGCAAACTGCAACATCATGATGGGCTTATTACCAGATGTGGGGACATTGCTGAACAAATACAATATTAAAGAAACTGTGGGAATTCTGTGGGGTGATGTTGACATAGGTTCAGTGAAATTTGTGGCAATACTAAATAAACAATACACATCTATTGTGGTGCAAAATTTGGTGTTTGTCATTGGGATAGTTATAAGTTGACACTTCTAATGTACCTTCCCGATGGTCTTGCCCAGTTTCATCACTGTGGCAGCGGTAACTGGTGATGTCCGTGTACTGTAGATATTCTCCAACAGTTTCATATGGTAGGCTGGGGCAAAGAAATGAACACCCACGCATTTCTCAGGTCGATTGGTTGCCACGGCAATCTGTTATAGAAAATTTTAGATACTGTAGCAACATTGTTATTTTTAAGTGGTTTTAATTTTCAGTATTTTCATATAAGTTATTGATCATAAAAGAAGATAGAATAAAATAAAACGAAACTAAAACCCAAACAAACAAAAAACAAACAACCTCTAAAAACAACCTCTGAAAATAAAATCACGGAGATGATCATCGTCTATAATCTGCATACAAAAATATGCTGTTCACAGCAAAAATTTCAACCATAGTAGACGTCAGGAGTAGGCACAACACGAAGCAGTTCCGGTCCAATGCACGATTTATTCGTGCTAGCACAGTGAAATCAGGAATGCTAGCACAAATAAATCGTGCATTGGACCAGAACTGCTTCGTGTTGTGCCTACTCCTGACGTCTATTCTACTTATTTGTAGTGGGTACTCGGTATCCTTTTGGATCCACGGCTGTTCTCGGAAGGAATTTCCTGATTTCACTGTTTGTGGGACGTTGTGTCTCCACCTCATGAAAAAATTTGTTTCTTATTCTATCAAATATAAAATTGCTTGAAGAATTTCTCTGGTTTTGCAGTCCTTAAAGTGTAGTTAGGATATTTATATCTATAATTTTATCTTACATATGGAAACACACGACTTTAATTTACTTTGAAAGTGACAAGGTTTACAAGGGCATGTGATTAAATTCATTATCACAGAAAATATATGGCTGCTTGATATCGGATTCTGTATTTTTGATAACAGTTAACTGATCTTCAGCTACAAGTATGAGACAATCGGTTTAAGTGTAATTGTTATAGAACAAGTTCTGTCAACACTTGTACAAGGGAAGTGAGTCTTGATTTTTCACTTTTAGAAATCTAACCCCAGCTGTCTAGCTGAAAGGCAAATACATTTTCCATTCTACCATTTAAACATCTACAATAAAATCTAGTATCTACAGTATACTTACTCTGTCAATATCTAAACTTGAGGTGTTGGAACACAAGATGGTACTTGGTTTGCAAATTTTGTCCAACTTTGCAAAAATTTCTTTCTTTAAATCTAAATTCTCGTAGACAGCCTCTATAACCTGTAGAAAATGGAAAAATAGATAAATAAATGACTAAAAACAAGAAATAGTTCTGTCATCGTAATCACAATAATAAACACGATGATAATGTTTAAAAGATAAGTGGAATTAAACAGAAAATCTTATACAAAGTATTTTTTTTTTTTTTTTTTTTTTTGAGCTTAACGTCCTTGTTCCGGTTATAACCAAGCCTAGGACACCACAAAGTATTAAGTTGTGTTGTGAGTCATTGACAGTGAAATGAAACAACTGAAACCAAGAAACTTGAATTCGTAAAAACTTTACATTGTTTGATTCAGGTAAAATTGCAAAAGGTTTTAACCAGTGAAAACAAGAGATACCAGAGGGATCTTGGCGCCCTCCATTATTTGATCTTTATTTGCTCTTTGAAAGTTGGATCTTTTCCCTTCTTTCACTTCTCTGTTTTTGCTCTTCATGATCAGAAATTTGAACATTCCTGTGCACAAAACCAAAGATGCTTGCCCGTCAGCCATTTTATTTTTGAGATCAAACCCTGAATCTAACAGGAGAAACCTGGGACAAAGGGGTCCTTACACTTGAAATCTGGGAATAATCTATGCAGTATTTCTCAGGAAATAGCAATAACAAACTTTGAGAGTCAAAATCCATGATGGCTGCCTGTTGGCCATTTTCTTTTTCTGATCAGTACCAAAATCTAACAAGCACAATAATGAATCAAGGGAGACCTATACATGAAATTAGAGAAAGATCTGTGCTGTAGTTTGCAAGAAATAGCAGTAACAATCTTTCAATGTCAAAATCCAAGATGGCCGCCTGTCAGCCATTTTATATTTCTGATCTGTCCCGAAAATCAAATGGGCACAACTAGAGACCAACAGGAACCTACAAATGATATTTGAGTGTTTCCAGTACTTCTGAAGAAATACCAATATAAAAGATTGTTTACGGACAGACGGACGGACAGACCACAGACGTAGGGCAATTCGAATAACCCACCATCTGATGATGCTGTTCAAAAAACAACTGTATAAGTATGTGTTCTAATTTTCAAAATGTTTTCGGTAATATTTCACCACATATATAAATTACCGTATCCTTATATGTCTTGTAACCACGGGCAACATCGAACGGCCATCAAGAAACTATTTACAGTAGTTGTACAGAGGTCACATGACATCACTAACGTGATATTTGTGATGACATATAAACTAATTTGTCGTTCCATTTGCATGTGTTGTGAGGTTAAAACCTGTGCAGTATGTCACATACATTGTTACGTGATAGCAGATAATACTTTACCAGGTCGACACCGGTGAGGTCATCGTAACTCATGGTGGGTTTGAGGAGAGATGCAGCACGTTGCCCAACCTCCACTGATATCTTGCCCAACTTCACACTTCCCTCCATCAAGGCCTTTATAGTTTTCACACCATTATTCAGAAACTACAAAAAATAATCAACTCACTAAGAAAAACAGGGAGAGCAATATATCTGGCCAGTTTTACAGAACATAGCATGTACTCTATTGTATCTGTTCTATGTAATACGTATGTGTAACACAAGTCATTATTTGCTTCAATGCCTCTGCTACGACTTGAACCTGGAACCTCTGGCTTAAAAGTCTTATGTCATTAAGCTAAAGGAAAGATCTCTTTAGACAGGCGGTATAGTACAACAAATATGTCCCTAAGTCCCACAAGTCATTATTTGCTCCAATGCCTCTGCTACGACTTGAACCTGGAACCTCTGGCTTAAAAGTCTTATGTCATTAAGCTAAAGAAAAGATCTTTTTAGACAGGCAGTATATTACTACAAATATGTCCCTAAGTTATATATGTTTACTAGTTTCTAAATTTAATAGCAATTTTTTTTTAAAGATTGCAATTAACATTCAGTATGTTATCGATGCATTTATCATAAACACTTGGATTTTTTTTATCATTACATGAAAATTAACGATCATCAATTCTTTTCACTATATATCTATATATTATTATTTTTCTTCCCTGCTATTTGTAGCTGGCGATATGATTATCAAAAAAGTAAGAACGTAACTATAATGGTATTAGACACAGCATCCGTCCACATCTTATCCTTTCTTTTGATCATTAAGGATGAATTTATTTTAACAGACTTCTTTTGATGAAAATAACAGTTCTATGCAGAATAGTTAAGTACTTTTTCATTCTGCTCCACCAGATAACAGGGAAGTCCAGCACTGAGGATACAAACAGCAATCCCCGACCCCATAGTCCCAGCACCGATGACAGCAGTGGACCGTACTGGAAGAGGTTTGGCTGTTTCAGAGTTACCACCTGGCATTTGCCACTGGAAATAGAGCAACATCAGAAAATGCCAATGTTAGTTTGCAATGAGCTATTTTTTTTAGAAACCAACACAGTGGCACATGTACATAAATTATGCGCATTTTTGTAATCAAATATTATAATGGCTTTCATAGTTTTCTCTCATATTTATATTTTTTGGTTTTCAGTCTATTCATAACAAATACTTCATTTTCACATTGAAAAAATTTGAAATTACATTTTTCGTTTTTCATTTAAATAATTCAAGAAACAAGACGACAGATCTATGAAAGTTACATTTTAATGAATTATTAACACTATTTACCGACAAAATACTTGCTACTTTTTCTCCATAAATCTAGAAATGTGACTACAGTTCTTCTCACAGGTTCATGTAGCCATTTAAGTTAATCTGTCTTGGAAGAATCAAATACCAGATTTAAAATGTAGCTCTGAATCACTGAATCCCAAAATCTTCACCTTAGCAAAATCTTTATGCATGGCTGATCTAAATTAGCAGTATTTCTATAAAAAAAATCATAGACATACAAATTTCAGATATGCAATATTTTTTGTGAAGGAGAAATTACAAATAAATTTACGTAGGCCTTACCTTGCCCACCAATCTCTCGGCAAAGAAAGCATACTGTTGAGCACGTGCCTGGCCAGACTGCCCCAAAACTTTGAACAAGGTTTCCTCATTTTTCACTCCTAAATCATAAGGTTTTTCAACGGATGCTTTAATAGCTCTTACACAGTACTGAAAGTAAAATAAACCATTTTATCAATTAAGATATCTGTGTATAAAATCTTCTGTAAATACGTCTGATGATATTGATATTCCTATATCAACATAATTTGGTGTTTAATTTTTTAGCTAAGTTGGCCTTTATATGCTCACTTTTAAGCAGTTCATGATAAAAAACAGTTTTGTTATTTGTAATGATGGCAAGAAATGTGAAGTAGGTATAAAACTACACAATGTCTAGCGAACTGTTTGAGGTTTTTTGAGACAGGAGGAACAAGTGACTACCCATGTTATGTTAGCTAGGAATATTGCAGACTTTGCTAAGGAATGAAACAGAACAACAAATAACTGATACCCCGAAAATCAGATTTTGAGAGAAATCACTAGGTGGTTACACGATCTCAAGAAAAAGAACTTTGATTATGATCATGGAATATACAGTTACATGAGTGTACATTACAATTTTGTGTCTCGTGTACAATGTTTAAGATAGCAGGTGGTAGACACTGCTGGCAGACTTTTGTACAATGTTTAACATAGCAGGTGGTAGACACTGCTGGCAGACTTTTGTACAATGTTTAAGATAGCAGGTGGTAGACACTGCTGGCAGACTTTTGTACAATGTTTAACATAGCAGGTGGTAGACACTGCTGGCAGACTTTTGTACAATGTTTAACATAGCAGGTGGTAGACACTGCTGGCAGACTTTTGTACAATGTTTAACATAGCAGGTGGTAGACACTGCTGGCAGACTTTTGTACAATGTTTAAGATAGCAGGTGGTAGACACTGCTGGCGGACTTTTGTACAATGTTTAAGATAGCAGGTGGTAGACACTGCTGGTGGACTTTAAGTCCTCGAGGTTTGCCATAACCTGCTTGCCATGTTTATATTCACTTGAATAGTGACATGGTTCAGAAAATACACATGTACTTGACGCTATTCTAAAATGATCCGAATATGAAAATTACGAAATTTATCCAATAATGGGGCTGCACCTCCCCACTGAGATTTTGACTCTTCTTGCGATCACTTTGGATTTTCCTTAGTCGACTCAAAGGCTTCAAATTTTAGGCACTTAGCTTCACTGAGGAGTCCTTGAAGGACGAAACAGCTGTATGATCCATTGTTTGACTCTACTGTATCTTATCCTAACTTAGAAAAAGGTTCTATTCTCTTGCGTGTCTTGTACAAGTGTTAATTGGCAATGATGTCTAATCCAATTAATAGAATAATTTAATCATAATTCATTACGACATAAATATGGGTGTATACCGATATTCAGATTATGAGAAAATATACAAAAATACCTGATTGACTTCCATATCAGACTGACAAATACCGTATTAAATTTCAATTTGGACAGTATGTATTTCACTAACCCATACATACGATACAATATCAATAAAGTATAATACACATGGACATATTAGAATGACAGAATGAACAGATGCCAGAATTACATATACATTCGTAGGAGATGTACATGTAATGAATCTAAATATAAAAAAATCGGACATTAAGTTTATTTTAATGAATGCTCCACTACTGCAAAGAACGTTTACTCGGATTCATTGTTTTTGAGGCTGCAATAAAATCACAAAAAAACCTACCATGAAAATTAAATTTACAGAGAAAACTAAAGGTATTTTACCAATAGACTCATTTTGCTTCAAATTTCTGATTAAATCATAAATACTTGAAGTGTCGGAAAAAACAGCTTTACATCAATTATTTTAAGTGTTCTTACCACTGGTGCCTGGTATCCTTTGTATTTCTTTTTCACCTGAGCCATCGCAGCTATAATGAAAATGAAAAAAGACAAATCTGATATCTGAAATGCCGATAACAAATGTCTAGAAATTTCACCAAATATCATTTTTTCAACATGAACTTAGGAAAACTGATGAAATTTAAAAAAATATATACCATCAGCATATTCCTGGACATTTTCTCCTCCTGGCACTTGTACAGCTCGTAGTCTTCTTGGAATTGTAGACTTTCCTACCATACTCAAGGCATACTTTATGCCTGAATTCACTATATCACCAGTAAAAACCTGCAAATATTTTCAGGAAAAAAAAATAATCACACAATTTCTTTGCTTGAGAAATATAAAAACTGATTAACATAAATACAATAAATAATCTGGGGAAGTCAGCACAACTTCATTACAGTGTTGAAACAAACCACTATAACTAGATCTGATGTTTTGAGTTGAAATTCTTGTTGCACAGAAGCTATCTTCTATTTTAAGTAACAGTGACCTTGATCTTTACCTGTAACAAGCACTTTCCATAGGGTTGAAATGATTAACTTTCAGTAATCAAGTAATCAAAATTAACACATAGGGTTTAAACAAGTAGGCTTTATCTCATGTAAGTTAAAGGGATGGGAGAAGATTGTGCTGGCTTTCTTTTTCTTAAACTATTCATTGCTGTAGAAAAATCCTCCAAATTTGTTCCTACATATGTTACAATGAATATAATACATGCAAAACCACATTATTTTGTGCTATGTCTAGCTGGGCCAGGCATTTCCTTTTTGGGAAGAAATGATATATACTTGTAATATAAAGCATTAAGTATTGACATAATGCTAGAAAGAATGTTCATTAGTGACCTACCTCATCTATAATTCCATACTTTTTAGCCTGGTCTGCTGAAACATGGCGTCCTGATGTTATCATATCAAATGCAATTGGTAACCCGGTAACACGAGGCAATCTCTGGGTCCCTGCTGCACCAGGTAGGATTCCAAGAGCTACTTCTGGAAATCCAACCCTGCCAAGAAGATAGTAGGCCTTTTTTTAAAACAGATCTGTTAGCCTGTCGTTGAAGAAGAATGAATGCGAAATAACTCATATATATAGTAGTATATAATTACATCTATCACCTAAAAATTACAAGCTATGACCTTTAACCCTAGAACTTTTTGACAAAGTGAAACCTCAAAAATAGCATGTGTAAATTTTGAATCTTTAACCTTGATAATTATATAGTTAAACTGAACAGGTTTCGATAGTAAATTTTTCACTAGAATAAAAATCATAACCAAGCAACTTTATGAACTTTAAAATTGCCTTTTTTCAGTAAAAGTTCCTCACTTCTTCAGCCAAAATCCAAAATTTCTTTGCAAACCTGAGAGTCATCCTGTAGTGACAGACTAGTGCTTGCTCCAGACCACCCCCCAGATAAGCGCCCTGAGTTTAGTGACTTACTATAATTTTCAGACTTGTGTACCACACTGTGCTGAAACAGATTAGTGCCACCTCCAGATACCTCCTGGACAAGTGTCCTGAGTTCAGTTACTTACTTTAATTTTCACACTTGTGTCTCACATTGTGTTGAGAAATATTAGTGCCACCTCAAGATACCTCCTGGACAAGTGCCCTGAGTTGAGTGACTTACTTGAGTGCCAACCTGTTGTGGCAGAAAAATGTTCCCTTTTTATTCCCTCAAATAAAGACAAGTCTATGGGTTAAGTAACTTACTACATGTACTTTGCAGGCTTGAGTGTCAATCTGTAGAGCCACCTCCTGGCCACATTTTAGACATGAATCTTAGGTGCCACCCTGTAGTGACATATGTTTGCAATCTCCAGGTTACCTCATAGACAGGTGCCCTAGATTTAGAGACTTACTTTGCAGACTTGAGTGCCACCCTGTAGTGGCAGAAGAGTGCCACCTCCAGACCACCTCCTAGACATGTGCCATGGATAGCTGCCACCACTGGTTTTCTGCTGCTCTCAATGTTGTTGCCCACACTAGTTAACCATGGCTCTGTTAGGAAATTTTTTTTTTTTTTTTTAAATTTTAGAGACCAATCACAAACTTCACATGCAGCTTTACATTTCATTTTCATTTCCAGTCTCTTTGACCATTCATCAGTCACACAATGCAAATAAAAAAAACCAGCAATTTTAGTCTATAAGAATTTTACATTAATTTATGGGGGATGGGGGATAGGAGTGGCTTTTTACAGAACATTGATACAACATTAGTTGTCAGCAAGTCTTAATATAACTGAAAAAGAATAGTCTGTGATTATGGTCAGATTAAATATGGCAATTTTCCAACATACAACAACAGTATTATGCCAAACAATTGTTTTATTCTGTTTTTCCCCTAATTCCAGTCTAAAGTTGATTATTAAGATGACACATGAGTGAATATAAGCATCCGTCCGTACAAATTTAGAGTTTGATGACAACATACAGCTGTAATGTTCTTCTAGGATTTATCAATAATGATTGGTCCTAAAGTGTTAAAACCTAGAAGGCAATTAACGAAAACCAAAATTGGTCGAAATAAATATCAAACTCTACATTGGAATGTGCATTGACCTCATAAAATGTTGAATTGCTATCATTTCTAATACTTCATTTTATCAACAATTCAAATTTGGAGGGAAAAAATGGCCTTCTGTAACTACAATCATGTATAAACTCCAATTTTGATAAAGACAAGCTCTCACCTCTTTTTGGTCTGCTAAACTCCCTTATGTCTGCTCCAGCAGGAAATGTTCGTCCCTTTCCTGCTATTACAATAGCTTTGACATTTCTGTCCTTTTCCGCCTTCAACATCCCATCAGCAAGTCCTTTTCTGACAGCATGACTACAAATAACAGCATAAATCACTCAAAAAAAGTACAAGATAATTTGTAGAGAGTAAAGATACTGTACATAAATGAGGTTAACTTGCATCAATTAAACAGTAATCCTCGGTCTGAAGGGGAAATACAATGAAAGAATGCAAGTTAATACAGGCATTTACATACACCTCGATCAGCAGTACTGTTATCAGTGACGTAGATGTAAACTTGATCTACTTTACAATAAACAGGAAACAAGTTTTAAGCTCATATCAATTCCTCTTGTTGGCACAGGTTGAAGTGTGTGTGTGGTGTCATTCTGTGGGAGGAAACTGGTGTACCCAGAGAAAAACCACATAGTTGGTCAGGTGACCCCATACCTTTTCAGATCTGTTATGGAAATAAAATCCCAAATGTCTAGGTGAAAAGCGAATGCATTAATTACCACTGCAACCACCTGACAACCTTACAAAATTGTGATATGCATATATATCCACGGATTTTCCATGAACTCTATGGGCATTGACCATGACCTGCAGCATGTCCATAAACATACTGTAGAAAATACCTGTTAATCCATGGAAAAAGATGGTGTTCCATAGAAATCAATTTTTAACATTGTGAATTGTACAGCCAGGTATGCCCATTTTCTACCGTGAATTCCATGTAATTTCTTGAGAAGCTTTCACAAATTGTTCATGTGTAGCTCTACGTTTTTTTTCTCAAGCATTTGCTGTTAGATAATTAAAAGTAAAAATAAACATATTATATGTAGTTTTTCTATACAGTCATTAACATTGGTGAAATGACTTATAGGATATTTTCAGAAAAAAATGTTTTGAAAGGAACTAGAATGAGAAGCACTTTATAAAGACATTAAATCCAAAATTGGATAGACTATCATATACATAATTATCTCCCATTTTAATGACTGTAATAAACAATTGTGCCCTTACTGATTAAGTCATGTAGTGTTAACATGTATGTAACGATGAAGGCCTACTGAAGTAGTAAAACTAATTGTAAAGCATCTGAAAAATTAATATCAAATGCATATTTGCTTTATTAATCAGATGTGATTCTAGTTCTTATTTTTTTTCTGTACATGAGTAATCAGGACACTTCTGAATTTTGACTTTATGATATTTTTAGGCGTCAGGGGTAGGCACAACACGAAGCAGTTCCTGTCCAATCCATGATTTATTTGTGCTAAGAGTTGTTAACACGTTTCGGATCCAAGCGATCCGTCATCAGTCATCTGTCATCTCGGAAGGAATTTCCTGATTTCACTATTTGCGGGATGTTGTGTCTCCACCCCCCCCTCTGTTTATGATATTTTTGTATATAGACAATGCATGGTCAGTGTCTTAAAATATAAGCCACTTTTGTCTCTCTCTTCATCCTCGCCAAAATACAGCTTATATTTCAAGACGCTAAAGATGTATTCTCTATATATGTACATGTAGCCAATAACTTTCATATCATGAACATGCAAATAACAAACACATACACAGATGCACAAGTGTTTATGTACATGGGCATACACCAGGGCTCTTGATCTGCCAGATTTGAGGCCGAATCCCAATGCAAAATAGTATCTTTTTTTCCCAATTTAGACCCCAAGTTTTCCCAATTCTAAGGAAAACGCCGCTATTTTTCCCAATTCTAAGTGCCCCGGGCCCCAGTCCCAAAATGGGGTGTGAGAGCCCTGTACGCTAAAACTGTAAAGCAAAATCTAATGAAATGTACATGTACATATATAAGCTTGTCTTATGTGTTCAACTTACCCTGAAGTAGGTCCATCATAAAGTGATGACGGTTGTGATTTTTCTTAAATTTACAAATAACATTGCATGTACATTGGGCTAAAGTGAAAGTAGGTTGTTACAAAAAATGTTTAGTACAAGTTGAACTGCTGTTTGCATTACCTGAGGGCGTTGACAGGCGGATTATTAACAAGCAAAAGTGCAACAGAGCCGTTCACACTGTAGTCGACCATGGCGGCAGCTTATACAGTCACATAATTTGACCCTAATACCTGTCTAAAGTCTGCCTTATCTGAATACATAGGTTAGACCTTCTACAGTTGGTGACCTACTTTTTGAACCTGAGTTCAAGTTTAAAGTTTAACTCAGGAAGAATAGAACATTTTACATTCCGTGCATTTCTTAACTTGTTTTTCAAACGGATACATATAAGGATGATCGCTTAAATATGGTTATAAGCTGGAACACAGATAATACTATTTTCTAAAAACATGTAGCCTAAATAATACATTTTAGTCCCCATTAACAACATATTATTGGTTTGAGCTGCGAGAATTATTTTATGTTCATTTTTTTTCGAGTTTCTCTGAGATCTCTAGATTTCACAAGGTGTTCCGAAAGATTTGTTGCGGAGAAAATTGTCGGAGTTTTCGTTTTGCAGGGGTTTTCAAGTCAGTTACGATTAGCATATGCCCCACTAGGCGAGAAAGTTAAAAATCGCCTAGTCATTGATGTCGAAGAAACTGTTGTCATGTTTCGGAAGGCGTAAAGATAGGACAAGCAGAGTGATGACACCTGAATCTATTACTCCATACAGTGCTTTGCCTAACAGCGGAAATAGGGAATGTCAACAGAAGCCATCGCTAGTGTCACAGTTTTCTAAAGAAGTCACAGATTTCAGTTCTCAGTATGGCAGTGAGACGAGCATATCCTACACCGCTTGTAATCTAGCTGGACGGAGCAACATCTACCCCACGTATGGGGATTTTACACAAGCATGTGTATTTGTAAGTTCAGACCGACACTTCACAGTCGCTATATAGTCATGTCATTGAAATGGTTTTAATAATACACAATAAAACATGTAAAAAATGAAGCGAACTATTTCAATATATACATATACTTTCAGAATCGTATATAGAGTGGTGTAACTTTGTTATTGTGTTATAATTCATGTTTATGTGACCCTGGTAATAATAGCCGCAAAAATATACTGCCCAGCTAAAGAGAGCTTCTATTTAGCTTGAGTGGTTGAGTGTCAGACTAGGAAACAGATATAAATACTTCCAATATCTGGACTAGAGATTCATGAAGTTTAAACCAGCAACTATTATGTTTGAATTTATTCATCGGTATGTAATTAACCAAAACTATGTTTTTTGACTGGTTTTAGGTCATCAAATAAAATTCACTTGCATACATTAAAGGGAGGTAATTATACAACTCTGTTCAGTCTTTGCTTAAGTATTTCAGAGCTTCATTTGGTTATCTCTAGCAATGAAGAGCCATATATGCTGGTATAAACATGATCTTCCAATAAAAGTAGTTTTTTGAGTGTTTTTAAAAATACATAATGAGAGTATATATTCTATTTATATTTTGATTTAGAGAACCTATGGACCTTGGTGGAACGATGTCCCATCATCCAGAAAGAAATTCAACAAAAGACCAGCAGACTTCTGTAGCGAAGATTTTATTGGTGAATATAGCTTGTAACCATTCCAGGTAGACCCTGTATCGAAAAAAGCATTTCTGAACAGTTCTGGACCCATCAAATCTTACACAATATATCAGTCCATCAGTGTTTGGTTGTGAAATTTATTGAATGAGGTAAATGTATGTGGGAATTAAGATTCACTGAAAATTTGTTCTAATTAAGCAATACCATTAATATACAAACGTGTACAAATTAGCAACACTTAGCTGGTAGATAGAAGTTAACAGAATTAAGGGTATATATATTTGGTTGGGAAAGGTGAATTACAGGAGCCATAAATCTTTTTTTAGAATCATTGCCCAATGAGACTTCAGGAAATGAACAAAACATATGTTTCTGGCAATGTGCCACTAAAAATATGTAACAATATTAGGTCAGTCAGGAAATCTGTTTATTTTTAAAATCATTTTTACTATGGATATAGTAACTTGGGGATTCCTGATATCTGGGTACTATTCAGGCTTGTACTGGTTATAGGCATGGAGATAGATGGGTGGCTTAATTACAGTTTTATCAGAGGTATCCAAAACTCCTCTACTTATTTATTCTATATAAAAAGGCACTTATTTACAGTGAGTAAGATTGTCATCAACCATTTCACTTTCAATTTTCAGAGATATCGTTTGAAATAGAAGTGTATCCTTGTAAGATAGAGATTTGGGAGACCTACAATCCTGGAGCTGTTGTGAAGATATTGGCCTGTGATAGCTCCAGTGGGTCTGATGTGGACTCTGGCAAAGCTAGGTAGTCACAGTATAGTTGATATCTAATAAAACCTGTCTGACATGGATATTGACAAAACCTGTCAGACAGGGATACATTTGTATGAAATTATATACACCTTCAGACAATGTTTCTTTCCTTGCAATTGTTAAAAAGTGAATGAAATTACTTCTGTGGTCCTTTGTTTTGTCTTTTGAACCATTCATGAATTTATATAACTTTTTAACTATAAATGCATATCATTGAACTGATTGAATTGTTACAGGAGTAGGACATCATGGTTTGTACTGAACAGTGATAGAAACATTCTCTTATTTTCATTAAACTGAATTATCAATCATCATTTTCTCACTTTGTAGAGCAAGATTAAGATTTTTCTTTTCACAGAAAATGTGTTTACTCTTGTTCTCCCACACAATTAGATATATTTTTATTACTTGCTGAAGAAATTTTATCAACTTTTTGTTGGTGAATTATAAAAGAAACAACAGCTTTGCTGTCTTTGCTTGGACAACATGTTAAAGTGTATATAATTGTATAATTAATATCATGTACTATTATAAGAGTATGATATGTAAATTGAATTACAGTAGAACACATATCAGTTTTGAGGTGTGTTTAGATAGATTTATAACTGTGAGATGATCACTAACTACATTTATTTGTATTGTAAGCAAATTCATCCTCCAGTTCTTGGTAAATACATACACTTTTTCATTTACAGGTGGCAGACATTATGGCAAGGAGAACCAGAGGAGTGTCCTCCCAAATCTAGGATATTTTCTCCTCCTTTGACCAACCCATTCTTCAAAACAAAGTAAGTACAACAAACACTGGACAGAGTTGATTAAAAATAGTTCCTTGGTAAATATTTGATGAATTTTTAAGATTTAAATTACCTAGGTAGATCAACTGGTCCCAAGAACCAAAGTAAATGTGTTGTCATGCTTGTAATCAATGAAGCATACAAAATGTTTTTGTAAAAAGGAAATGTGTGGATGTACAAGGTAATGACAACCAGGGCTTGTAGTATGTAATCTTTTGAAATCACCACATCAGTTTGGAAAGAGAAATTTTTATCTCAATTAGCATTATCATTAGGCAGATCAAGAGTGCATTATAGAGGGTAAGACTTTCAAGGGGAAATAATCAGTTGATGAACCTTGACAGCACAGATCTATCTGTTTGTCCGCTTCCCAAAAAACATAAACTTCCATGAAAAGGGAGTGTTAAATCGCACCTTGGATATTTACATGAAGATTTGTAGGCCAATACACTGAGTTACTGAGCTCTCGCAGGCCCCACTGTTTAGTAGTATTTGATAATGTATATATTAAATATGGTTGATTTCAGGTTGATAAGACTGGAGATGTGCTCTGTGAAGTGCCGCTACTACACTGAACTGGATTGCGTCGTGATGTATGGATCTCTGCAGCCATTCCCAGACATTGAGCACCTGTACTTACAACAGATGGATGAATATAAAGTAGGTTTATTTTCTCTCCTCCTGAAGAGGTATATATATTTCAAAAGTTTTCTGGGTGCTACAGTTGAAAAAATCTAGAGTGATGAAATGTGATTAAAACATTAGAGATGATGTAGCATCATGTAAAACACATCATTTTGGATTTAAGTCTTTTGTGACAGTATAATTCTCTTTTGATACCATCACCCCTGCAACAAACTCATAGTGCGTACACTGGTTGTCGTTCTGTCTGTTGACAGACTTTTGTCTAAACCACTCCTCCTACAGCTTTGTAGGAAAACTTTGTGGAACTCCACACATTGAAGTTGACAACAGTTTTAGCTATGTTGTGATGTTACAGCAGTGACCTTAGCATGTAAAATTGAGTCAACTAGAAAACCTCTTCCAGTTTTGTTTTGAAAATGTCAAAGCACTAAAAAAGAAAAAGAGGCAGCATTTTGCATGAATTTGATATCTAAGGGAATTTCTGAACGACGTACCATTTTCAAAGAACCAAATTATAACAATAATATAATATCATGTTCATTGTGTATAAGGTCTATTACTCTCTTTCCAATTATTGGCAATACAGGTTAAAATTTCATCTTCATATTTGTTTTAAATGCTGGTAAATTTATCTTACAAAAAAAAAAGAAAATACTGAAACATTTTTCAGTGATGACAACTACAAGCATTTCTCATGTTGTTGAAATCCCATGTCCCAATTTCTGGCAGTATTCCTTAATATATGATAGATGTGAGCTTGACTCTCTTTAAAACTCTTAAGAAATGAGATAAATAGCAGGTTAGCATTACAGGCCAATAAACTTCTTTTTGTTTTAATCGTCAGTTTCAGCAAAAACCTCTATGTTGTTGCTGCCAACTTGTATGTGTCTTTGTACTTGGTAGATATCTGTCTACAGTCTTGATCTAACTTTTGAAATAATCAATTTATATGATTTTAAATCATGCCATGACACTGATGTCACAGTCCCACTAGAGTTCATTTTTCAGCATTATTTGTTATGAATAATTAATGTTTTATCATTAGCTTTCTCCACAGAATTACTCGGAACCAGACAACTACGTCTATATGATTACCTCCCGTATGAATCAGCTGAGTGTTGAGGCTGGCTCACAGGGAGAGCTACCAGATGGAATCTCACCAATATGGGAGAATAAAGAAGGAACGGTTCCTGTTCTGGAGCCTAAATTGGATGAAGAGGAAGAACAGACAGATGGGGAAAGGCTGGAGGAGTTGCCTCCCCTTGAGACAGTAGAAACAACACAGGACGATATAATTGTTGAAGACAATGGTTTCTTTGATTTGCTGCCGGTGAGTTAGACATAGTTCAGCTCTATAGGTTCATTGTAGTGCTTCAAATGAATTGATATCATTGTGGAATTCCAGGTAAAATTACATTAAATGTGTCGGACTTGATACAAGGCATGGGCTTATTGACAATAAATATAGTTTTGATTTTACAGGAGGAAGTGATACGGCTGATACTGAGTTACTTGGAGCTGTCTTCGTTATTCAATGCATGCTGCACATGCAGGTAAGCTTTTAGTTTCCTTGCTTGAAATATTATTCATTTTATCAGCTTAATGAAAAATAGTATGTTATTTCTGTGGGTCAGGTGTATTGTAAAATTAGTTATATGAAACACAAGAGGAAAGAATTACAGGGAAATGGGTGTATACTTTCAAAATGATAACATTTCCAACTTCAAGGACAGATTTGTGAACCAATTATGTAATATATGTAAGACCTATGGACTGTCCATCTCAAGAAGCATTGGGATACTGTTGGGATAACGGGAAAATACCTGATAAGGAAGGATTATGATGCAAGGTGGTTAAACTTTGTACAGACAAAGTACTACATTTATTGGGTCATCATTGAAGATCATAATGGAGAATCAGGCAAAATTGCTAAAAAGGCGTCACCACTATGATCATGTTGATTTTTGAAATTTGGTGTAAAGAATTCCTGGCCAATTCCTGGAGGCTCAACTTTAATTAAACACAGTGACACATTTCGGGCTAAGGATCTGTGGGAATCAAATACAGAAATTATGAAAAATAGCAATAAATCTTGTAAAACTTTATTCCTTAAATTTGATAATTTGTTCTTTTTTATATAAATCAGTAAAGGTCATGTGAGCTATTCACTGTGCCATTTTGTGGTTTATGTTAATATTCTATCATTATGTACAGCTGATATAAAGGTATAACATTGTGTATTTTATGCCATTTACAGGTTACTACAGAAACAATGTTCAGACTCACTGCAGTACACAGAACTCAACCTTCAACCTTATTGGTATAAGGTACAGATCACCATGTCTGCGGCAGCCTTCAATGATTTACTTTCTAGTACCCAGTTAGGCTTAAGCCTGACATATCAATGAATATAAGAAACAAATAAGCAACGTTGAATATAAAAACTAATATCAGGTGATATTAAACATATTTGATTATAAAATGGTATTTTTCATGCTATCTTTATAATTGACTTTAATGATGTCGTGTCTCTGCCGCCTATGAAATGTCATGTTTATGAGCTATAAAAAGATCTGGTATAGAAAGCCCATGTTAATTGAGTGTTTTTAAAATGCAGCAATATCAGAACAGATAGATTTCTCAATGACAAACAAAATACTGCAATGAACTTGGCACTTTGTCCTCAAATGATTTTTTTGTTTTTTTGTATTAATATGGTTAATAAACCTCCTCACCAGGCCATAACTGTACAGTGTCTTTCAACCAGGTTGACAGTAGTGTGTTGGAGAATTTCCAGTCTAAATGTGGGCATCTTCACCACCTCAACCTGTCCTGGTGTGGCGGTCGCAACAGCACTGTGTCCACAGCAATCTTCGACACGTGAGTAAATGTTATTGACACGCGAGTCAATGCTATTGACGGGCGAGTCTGACGGGCGAGTCAATGCTAAAAGTTAAAGTAAGGCATACATTAACAAATGAACACACTGTGTGTCCAAGTCATCACCAACATCTCTCCTAAGGTATACATTTACAAAAGTGCAGTACTGTATCCACAGCAGTCTTGGAAATATAAGGTTTCTCTAACTACCATCGTGTTATAAAAATCATTTATGAATAAATTTTAATTGTATTTATATAAGTAAGTGCTGACTGCCCATGTGTTATAGTTGAAAGATGAAAAAGATATATTAAAACTAGAAAATGTCTGGAAGACATGAATGCCCCCCCCCCTCCCCCATGTGAAATAAGGTCCGAAAGAGATGATTTTGTTAATTTGTATGCAACTATGTACAACTGAAGTTTCATACTGAAATTGACAAGTTGATTTAACGCACATGAATTTGGAATTTTGTTCTCTGGAAAAAATGAGGGAGTATATTAGTTCCTTATGCCTTAAAACCCACAAGTACCAAATTATGTAGAAATAAGATGATGTTCCTCGTTTTTGAGTTATCTCCCCCTGGTGGCCATCTTTTTTTAGAATGCCGAGAAATTCAACACTGCATGAGGTCTTTCCATACTTTATATTTGTATGAAGTTTCATGAAAATTGCCTTCCGAATGAAGTTGTTAGGTGGTATATACTGATTTGGGACGCGACGGGACGGGACGGACGGACATGGGCAACGCTATAAATGGCGGGGGCATAGAAAAGGCAGTTTATTGAGGCATTAAGGACTTTGAGCATGAATCAATCTTCTATCAACATTAACATTGAAATGTTTGATATCATGATTTTATTGTTCATGCAGTTTTCTACAAAGTTGTGGGAAGGAGTTATCTACCCTTTACTTAGCCAACTGTTCCTTTGTGAACTCAGATGTGATGAAGTCTATAGCCAGCTTCTGTCCAAAACTAAAGGGTGAGTATATATGGAGGATTTTGTATTATAATGAAAATCTTCAGAAGGAATTTGATTTGCTTTATTTCAGGTTACCATAAAATTCTTAATTTTCTGATGGGATTTATTTTAGTATTAGTGGATTTCTTGAAAATTATTTATCCACAAAATCAACTGCTCGTTAATTTTTTTCCCTTATTTTTAAAGAACTTTAAAATTTGAACCACACCGAGATATGTTGTGTATGATTTACAGGACATCTGTAACATGAAATGATTAATTTATATGTAATTATTAATGTTAAGAAAAACCCCATTGAACTGCCCAGTCAGTTAATCATGTACAATTTTCACACCTGATTAGAGTGTTCCACATTATATGATTCAACTTAGTATGTGAACGAACTGATTTCTGAAGAAATGATCTAGTGGATAGAGGGAACTTCGTATAAATAGCCTAGCAGGTGGTTTTGTGTTTCTCAGGAAGCTGAGGTCACTTGCTGTCCTGATTTAAGGCAAGGCATTCTATGTTTGCTGTTTTGAATAAGATGTGACTTGTCTCCAGCAAGTTTTTCAGTTTGTCAGTTATCAGCTTCTACACTAACACTCCGACTCAGAATGACCCTGATCTGTTCAAGGGGTGATTAACCCTGCAAGCATCGGATGCACTTAATACATACATGAATAGGTAATATATGATGTTGGTTTTAAATATATTTGTAGATTTGGACATACAAAGTTGTTTCAAAATAGACAGTACAGGAATATTGCATCTACAGAAACTGCCAAGCATCACACGACTCAGTTTGTACAGAACTCTGGTGGATGTCCACAGTCTCACTGCTCTCATTAAGTAGGTATTCACAGCTGATAGTAAATACATTGGAGTTGATTCCACAGTTATATCTGTTCTATCCACAACATCTGAAATGCATATTAACTCTTTTTAATGGTATGTACATATCTATTATATTTGTGTGATAATCAGCCTACTTATCTCTGTTGCTTTCTGACAAAAACCCATCCATATCTATCACTGTTTCAGTAGATTGCAAACATGTCAATCCTCCTGTTATGAGCCCATATCCTTGATTTAAGTGAGATCTTATATAATTTTTGCCATTCTTGACTTTCAAGAATTTTTTTTTACTGGCTTGAATAAAATGCAATTTTTGTAAACGATGATGATATGTGTAAGTTTAACTAATAATTTGGGTATATTTGGCACACTGAACCTGTACAGTGTTTAAAATGGAGAATACTCAGAAAAGAAAGACAAAAGTAGCTCCCCAGAGGCTGGCTAGTTTTGTTTTTCTTCAACCTCACCAAAATGCAGTTTATATCTTAAAACACTGACCATGTATTATATTTGTCCTGCAACATTCATTGAAAATCAATCAAAACTTCGAGTTTTGTTGTTCAGTCTTTGTTTGCTTGATGTTGATGTTGTGCTGAAATTTGCCTGATGCCATCTGCTCTGCAAATTTTAACAAATATGACTGCGATTTTATGAATTTTCTTAAATCGCCTTGTTCCTTACAACATATGGAATTGCCTGTTTCAACAATTATTTTTATTGTTAAATATAATTTTTCAGTAATTTCAGCAAGTAATTCTGTTAAATTATTAGCATGCTAGAATACAGCTGTTTTCTGTCACTGCTGAATGCAGCGAAACTAATTGTGGCAGGTGTATTCAGACAATGGCAGCACCAGTTGCAGGATAAAACCTTTTAATGCTGGCAACAGAGAAACATATTCACCTTAGATTTTTCTTCCACTGGCAATACTGGTATTAAATATTTGCTGTGTTAGATTCATAATACATTATTTCAGTTTCAACAACAAACTTCAGTATAAGGATTTTCCCGCCCTATAGAAAACAAGGCAAAGCAATCAAGATTGAATTGCTGAAAAATTTTACTTGTTTATGGTATTGAAATATGAAAAGGGGAGAAAGTATGTTGTAACTTTATTTATTTTTTTTTTTTTTTTCAAAATCTAAAGAAATAATGATAGATATATGTTCATATACTGAAGAAAAGGAAAGTTTTTGCGTCTTTTAGTTTTTATTTAATCTCAATGTAAGTATAAGGTTAAGGAATTCTGTATATATACTGAGTATATTATTAGCTTACCTGGGGGGTCTCTTGTCTGGCATGAACTTTTTCCTTTATACAAATTCTTCTCAATAACCAATGGCCCAAATGTTTTGATATTTGGGTGGAATGTTTTTAGAATAAAGCCCAACAAAGTTTGGGAAAAGAAAAGACTTTTGTTGAAGATCACAGGGGTCAGATTTGTTAAAACATCTAAACAACTTCTCTTCAGGAACTTAAAGGCCTAGAGGCATGATATTTGGGTACCACTTGTGTGCTGCAGGCCCATCGGGCCTCTTGCTTATAGCAGTGTCTGGTGAAAATTAAAGAGATTTTTGCTGAAAAAAAAAAAGAAAAAAATGATATATTGAATTTTTTTCTCATTGTAGACATCTTGGAAACCTGGAAGTTTTAAATATTGGGTCATGTACAACTATAAATGACTTTGATGAAGTGTGTAGAGCTCTGGGAAAAAACTGCAAGTAAGTGTGTTTGATCATGAATATAATGTTTGGATATAGAGGACTAATTTTGCCCCATCTATATTGCGGGTAGCCATGTCAGCTGTCATGCACCTTTCTCTATTTCATGTGTAAACTCTTTAATCCCTGGTTGTTCATAATTAGCTATGTTCCTGATTGGAATAATTATGACAGTTACAATAGATTATCACTCTTTCTTTATGAACTTACCTTAGTCTTTTTTTCAGCATGATAAATTTTAGGACAAATTGAAAAAAAAAAGACAGAATGTCCAACAGTCGACCATGTTGGATTTTGACAAGTTTTACAGTTAGTTATTGCTAGTTTCATGAGGACATGACAAATTCCTCTGAAATTTCTTATGTAGGTTCTGGGTTTTTCTACCTGTTCTTTGTTTAATTTTTGACTCATTTTGAAAACAAAATGACCACCAAAAGGCTCTCCTGGATTTTTAAGTCGCCTGAGCCATCTTGATTTGTCTGCCGTCGCGCGTAGTGCGCTGTTGTGCATCGTTAACTTTTCACATATTCGACTTCTTCTCAAGAATCTCTGAATGGATTTTGACTAAACTTGGCACAAAGCATTCCCATGGGAAGCCGCTGCAAGTTTGCGAAGAAAAAAGGCATGGCTTCAATAGGGGCCGCAGGAGGGGGAAAAAGGGGGTAAAATTAGGTAAATCTTTAAAAATCTTCTTCTCATGAACCAACTGTCAGATTAAATTCATATTTGATATTTAGGGTCCTTATGGCAAGGTCTACAGAGTTTGCGGGTGTAAGGGGTGTAAAAAGGGCCATATGTAAATACCTTCATTAAATGACTACTTCTCAAGAACCAGTGGATGGATTTTGACCAAACTTGGCATAAAGCATTCCCATGGGAAGCCGCTTCAAGTCTACGAAGAAAAAGAGCGTGGCCCCAAAAGTAGGGAAAACAGGAGGGGGAAAAGGGGAAACTTGATACAAATGTTCTACACAAGGTCCTGGCAAGTGTTTTAATTTTTTGGGGTGATTCAAAATTTAAGATGGCCACCCTGGCCTCTGTTTGGCTAAGACATTATGGACTTCCTTTCAAGAACCAGGTGAAGATCTAAGGTGTGTGGTTCAATCCTCTAGGTTGTTTGTGTTTCTCAGGTGAAGATAGAGGTGTGTGGTTCAATCCTCTAGGTTGTTTATGTTTCTCAGGTGAAGATCTAAGGTGTGTGGTTCAATCCTCTAGGTTGTTTGTGTTTCTCAGGTGAAGATAGAGGTGTGTGGTTCAATCCTCTAGGTTGTTTGTGTTTCTCAGGTGAAGATAGAGGTGTGTGGTTCAATCCTCTAGGTTGTTTGTGTTTCTCAGGTGAAGATCTAAGGTGTGTGGTTCAATCCTCTAGGTTGTTTGTGTTTCTCAGGTGAAGATAGAGGTGTGTGGTTCAATCCTCTAGGTTGTTTGTGTTTCTCAGGTGAAGACCTGAGGTGTGTGGTTCAATCCTCTAGGTTGTTTGTGTTTTACAGGTGAAGATCTAAGGTGTGTGGTTCAATCCTCTAGGTTGTTTGTGTTTTACAGGTGAAGATAGAGGTGTGTGGTTCAATCCTCTAGGTTGTTTGTGTTTCTCAGGTGAAGATAGAGGTGTGTGGTTCAATCCTCTAGGTTGTTTGTGTTTTACAGGTGAAGATCTAAGGTGTGTGGTTCAATCCTCTAGGTTGTTTGTGTTTTACAGGTGAAGATAGAGGTGTTTGGTTCAATCCTCTAAGTTGTTTGTGTTTTACAGGTGAAGATAGAGGTGTGTGGTTCAATCCTCTAGGTTGTTTGTGTTTCTCAGGTGAAGACCTGAGGTGTGTGGTTCAATCCTCTAGGTTGTTTGTGTTTTACAGGTGAAGATCTAAGGTGTGTGGTTCAATCCTCTAGGTTGTTTGTGTTTTACAGGTGAAGATCTAAGGTGTGTGGTTCAATCCTCTAGGTTGTTTGTGTTTTACAGGTGAAGACCTGAGGTGTGTGGTTCAATCCTCTAGGTTGTTTGTGTTTTACAGGTGAAGACCTGAGGTGTGTGGTTCAATTCCCTGGGTTGTTTGTGTTTTACAGGTGAAGATCTAAGGTGTGTGGTTCAATCCTCTAGGTTGTTTGTGTTTTACAGGTGAAGATCTAAGGTGTGTGGTTCAATCCTCTAGGTTGTTTGTGTTTTACGGGTGAAGATCTAAGGTGTGTGGTTCAATCCTCTAGGTTGTTTGTGTTTTGTGTGAAGACCTGAGGTGTGTGGTTCAATCCTCTAAGTTGTTTGTGTTTTACAGGTGAAGATAGAGGTGTTTGGTTCAATCCTCTAGGTTGTTTGTGTTTTACAGGTGAAGACCTGAAGTGTGTGGTTCAATCCTCTAAGTTGTTTGTGTTTTACAGGTGAAGACCTGAGGTGTGTGGTTCAATCCTCTAAGTTGTTTGTGTTTTACAGGTGAAGATCTAAGGTGTGTAGTTCAATCCTCTGGGTTGTTTGTGTTTTACGGGTGAAGATCTAAGGTGTGTGGTTCAATCCTCTAGGTTGTTTGTGTTTTACGGGTGAAGATCTAAGGTGTGTGGTTCAATCCTCTAGGTTGTTTGTGTTTATCAGGTGAAGATCTAAGGTGTGTAGTTCAATCCTCTGGGTTGTTTGTGTTTCTGAGGTGAAGATCTAAGGTGTGTGGTTCAATTCCCTGGGTTGTTTGTGTTTCTGAGGTGAAGATCTAAGGTTTGTGGTTCAATTCCCTGGGTTGTTTGTGTTTCTGAGGTGAAGATAGAGGTGTGTGGTTCAATCCTCTAGGTTGTTTGTGTTTCTCAGGTGAAGATAGAGGTGTGTGGTTCAATCCTCTGGGTTGTTTGTGTTTTTCAGTAAGCTCAGTGACTGTCCGGTTCTGTCTTTAGACTAGACACGTTACTTCAGTGGTTATGGATAGCAAGCAACAGACCTCTGGTATGATGTTTAGTGATGAATGTATCACCAGTTTACAAGAAGAGACCCTTTCTCAGAATTACCCTGACTATTCTAGAGGCCATAGGCCAGAGCATCGAACTATCAAGTCATTATGATACATGTTCTACACTTATTGACTTTAAAGTTATCTCTCCAGAATTATGCTGAGATTGTGTTTTTCCTTTGAAGGAAACTGATTTCTCTTGACCTTTGGCGATCAAGGACAATTACTGGAGTTGGACTGCTGGCTCTGGCTGATGGATGTCCAGACCTGCAGGAACTGGACATAGGCTGGTGGTCAGTTTTCATACATTCTGCAAGTTAATTTCAAGAAAAAATGGTCATGCAAATATATTAAGTTTTTTAATGATGTTAAATTTGAAATTATGTATCAAACTATTTCTCTTTCACAGAATATTCATAGCAATTAGTCCCCTATATTAAAAGCTTAGTTTGGGTGGTTGGGTGATGCAGTGGTAAGGCACTCACCTTTCTCCTACGCGCCCAGGGTTCGATTACTGAAAGGGACATGAAAAGGTATATAGATCACCTTTCTGACCAGCTTGATTTTCCACAGGTACTCTGGTTTCCTCACACAGAAAGACCCCTCCATTCAGGCAAACAACAGTGATTAATATAAGCTTAAAGTTTGCTTTACAATTGTTTTAAAATGAATTAAAGATTATATTTATATTTTTTTTTCTGTTGTTCAATGAAATAGCTATCAGCTAGAAACAGACACTTTTAACAATGCATTGTTGTGATTAAGGTAGCATTTAGTAGTCTCTTGGTAAATTTTTATTTCTCCAAAATATTTGTGGTTTAAGAAAGTTGGAATTTAAGACTTACATCAATTACATATATGATTTAATGGACTTAATACTGAAATATTTATCTATTTTGTTTAGATATGAGGGATGTGAAATATCATTTTGTTTTCAGTCCAGAACTACGCTTATGTTCCTCTAGTCTTGTGCAACTTGTCCAGAATTGTTCGAAGCTGAAGAAGCTCTTTCTGACTGCCAACAGGTAACAAGTCCAATTGTTTTACCCACAATTGGATTTACCAACATACTGTATAAGTGGTTATTTTTTGAGGGCTGTTTATTTTCACAATTTCGCTGTATATTAAAGTGGTCGCAAAAATTTTGTCTGTGAAATAATGAGACGTGTGTGTATAAGATGTTCTTTACATCCAGAGTGCAAAATTTTAATTCATTAAAATGTAATTTGCTTGAATATTTAAGAAAATTGTGAAAATTTTGACTCGCAAAAATTACCAGCTATACAGTAATTGAAATTGATGTATTTCACAACGTTTAGTGTCACTAGAAAAAGAAACCATTTTTTCAGCTCCTTCTTCAGATGCTCATTATTTTATTTATTTAACAAACCAGGGTTGTTTTTTTTATACTTAAGAAGATATAGATATGCAATGTAATTCACATTAACATGGAATGATTCCACAGTGATTGCCTTAAATTCAATAATTCCAAAAAAGTGATGTGTAAAATATTGCTATATTTTTTCTGAGTAAATGAAATATATGTAGTTGTCAGTAGGAAGTATCGTCAATCTGATTAACATACAGGTCTTAATTTACCACTCCAATATTTCCCCTTAATGAAAGGAAAGTATTTGAGTGGTAAATTAAGGCATGTATTTGAATCAGATTGGAAATATTGTTTACACATGATTATAGAGATGAAGGCAAATGCCGTATTTATCCAGTAGTAAGGCCATGTTGGGGGGCAAACATATAACCCAACAGAAAGTTAAGAAATTGATTCATTACAGGACTCACAATAAAATAGCTTTAGTTGATAATTCTGCTAAATAGTAATAGATATTATAGGATTTTTTATCATACTTGGGGCTTACGGTGGGATAAATACAATTTGCCATACGGAACTTTAATTCTTATAATCGCAAGATTTTAACTTTTGTAAATATTACATACTAAATTAGATTAGTATTGAATGACTGATACATACTGATTCACATGTCATCCTCCAGGAATGTTTGTGATCGAGACCTGATGGCTATCTCCGCCAACTGCCGTGAACTGCAGCAATTGGACATCTTGGGGACACGGGAGGTTTCTCGAGAGGCCGTATATGGGTCAGTATCAAGTTCTTAAAGATGACTAGTTCCTTTTAGGCATAGTTCTGATATAACAGAAAATGTAAGTCAGTTTGGAAAAAACCAAATTTCCAAATATATTTGCTGTAATTATAATGGTAGTTTGTGATTTTTTTTACTTGAGTTTAGGACTTGTTGGACTCCATGATGTTTTGTAAGCTCATTATATTTCTTGGTTGAATCATTAAAAATATGAAAATTCTGTTATAGAAATACTGAAAAATCCTACAAAAAAAGATTTTAGTTCATGCCTTATGTGTATTGTGAATTAAAAAAAAATAATTCTGTTTCTTCTCATGAAAGGCATGTTTTTGTTTGTTTCAGTGTTCTGCAGAACTGTACAAAATTGACCATGTTTGATGTGTCCTTCTGTATGTCAATAGACTTTCCCTGTGTAGAAGCGTGGAAAAAAGAATTCCCTAATGTTAACATCAAGAAAAGCAGTCAACATTAGGACTCTTTATAAAATGTTACTATGTCCTGGATATCTGTGATTAAGGTAGTAATTTGTGTCATGATATTGTATTGAACATAAAACAATGTTTACATTTTTAAACAGTACACAATAAACATCATGTCTCCATACATTTATGCTGTAAAATCAAGCATTCATATCGATACACGTAACTTAGATTTTTTTGTGTGTGTAAATATTTTAAATATAATGGAATTTCATTCTGTAATCACTCTTTATTTCATAGCATGTGATATCTTTTATGGGACACACATTTATTATTTCTTATTAAATTCGAGGAGTTTTAACTTATGCTGCATTGAAAATATAATAGAACAAATTTAGAGATGCAGATACCTTCAGAAGTTCACTGTTGAGAAGAAAACTGATGTGCTCCAAAATTGCTGCAAAAAACGTATTATTTTTGCTTCAAAGTCTTTCAGATTTTAAACTATCAGACAAAACCAATTAACCTTAAATTGACTTTACAGTGCTGTAAGTATGCTGTGTACATTTTTATATCACAGTTACATGTTTATGTATGAGATATACATGTTATGTGCAGTACAGTTACTATATATAGAAGTCATAATGAAATAGAGTTTAAACCTGTAATGTTGCCAGCAGCATATTGATATTAATTTATTGTGGGTGTATTTGTATCAAAGTTAAATTATGACGATGTTAGAGATATGTGGTTGTTAATTTGTAGTAAATACAAACAGTATTTCACTTACTAGGTGAATTCTCTGATACGTTTTGTTCAATGTTTATTCCATGAAGATAGTTGATATTATATCTAGTTGGAAACCAGTAACAATTGGTGTGTTACAGGAATAACAATGTATTAAAGTAAACTTTGTTTCTACATAGCGTATCAGATGATGTTTTGTTAGTTTTTTGGGTAATGATGTCATAGATTGTTCGTAAAATGTTATACTCCTTATCTTATATAGCTCACCGATTGGTAAATGGGTATTCTATTTCTATGCTAATATAGAGATAAGATGATAATAATCCCATCCATGTATATTCCTGTTCATTGAGATTATAAACCAATGCAATTGTCCTATAATAACCCCACCACTTCCACTCCACCACCTCCCAGCCCCTCCCTCCCTCACTCTCTAGGAGTTAAAAGAAATGCCTACCCACCCACCCACCCCCCTCACCAATGCCATCTCTTAAGTTACAAAGAACTAAAAAAAGGCCTTGTCCCCCTCCACTGTCCCCTTCATTGTTAGTGTTAGGCTAATAGTATAGACACTTTCTGAATGTAATAATTTTTTCTTCATTTTTATTTTTTTGAGTTTGTAGGCTTTGTTCACCTTTTTTGTGATATCTACATGTATTGTATTTTTATAGTTAAGTTTTTTATGAGTGAAGATATGTACCTGATAATGTATTTATAATATCATGGACCTTCTGATGCCTTTATTTCAATTTTAAAGATCTGTTTGAATATCTTTTGTTTTATTATTTTTAATTCTAATTGATTTTTTTTTTTTAAAGAATGTTAGCAAGTCTATTTTACAATTCTTAAACAAAGGATGAGTTATTTTATAATGAATAAATTAAAGGAAAAATGTATTATATCAGTAAGTTTGAAAAAGTCTCCGGGTAAACTTTCCAAATGTGATCATTTTGGATGTGTAAGTTGAGATGATTTTGGCAAAATCTACAAGAAAAAAAAGAGTTTTAGAAAATCTTGTTTACTTATGTGTTTGAAGATGGTGGTTTCAAAAATGTTTCTGACTTTTAAAACTATTTCGATGCACACATATAATTTTAATGAGCTCAGGTGGGGTTTGTTCCCATGACAACTGTTTGGCATCAGCTATGAAGCTTCAGATTTTAACAAAACATTTTGATATGCACTCTTGCATTTGTTAATGATCATTGATAATTGTGTTTAGATGTGAACAGATATTTGGAGAAATTTTCTGTTTTTAGAAAACTTCAGTTAATTAGATAAGTCAATTTGGAAATGAAAAGTTCAAAGATTAATCGATAATTTACTTAAGTCTTTTACATTTTTTGTGAACAAATTACACATTTCTGAAAATTTGTTCCTTTTCATATAATGGTAAATGGTGTTTATGATGATTTACAGAAATTTGATGTATTGTTAAATATGGTTGCATTTCAAAAATGAATTGATTTAATAGTTTTTAAAATGGTTCTATTGTCAGGTCTGTTGTTGGAGCCCCACATGTGACGTTGTAGTATCACAATAATATGTCAGTTAAGTGTATTACATCAAAACATCCCATTTCCTATTGCAACCTAAAATAATTTTTCATCAAACTGCCATAAAATCACAAGGTTCTAGATGTATATGCGGGCAGTTGCTGGGTTCTGGCCGCAGGTTGTTTTTTTTTGCCGGGAACTCCGGCTTTCCTCCCCCACCCAAACCTGGAAAATCCTTAAATGACTCTAGCTATTAATAGAACATAAAGCAATGTTAAAAAACATAATATCATCAATATTAGACCATTGTGACTTACTATAATTTCAATACCTTCAGCAAGTCATCAGTAGCATACTTCCTAGTGGTTTTGTTAGGACTCATTCTTTCTACAAACATATTTCTTTTGTTATTGTTACTTTTCTGATCTGTAGGTACGTGTAACTTGTGAAGCATATAGATGATACAAATTCATTATATTACAGCATCAGACTGTCGGTTTACGTTTATCAATTAATTAGTATATCAGTCATATCAAGTCATGACCAACATTTCTTTATTCATGATTACTGCTTCATGTCTGACAATATTTAAACACAAGAATCACTCAAGTGACTGATACTGCCATGTGAATTAAGCTTAGCAATGATAGAGTTTTGGCCCTTTGTTCATGTTTGGTACTGAAATTTAACAGGTAGTGGAAAACTAAGAATTGCTTACAAATATACAGCTGTGTTACAGATTAATTTTCTTATTTGTTAAAACAACATGAAAGCAGTATATTATATTAAAAGGAAATTATGAACTTAGGACAATAGACAGACATGATATAAATTTACAATAAACGTACCCCTAATCTGCTTATAACACAAATATATGGGGTTTTTTTGGTTAGAAATTTGTGCATAGCCCCTGTGATCAAAAGGAAGTACAGTATATATATATATATGTAGATAATTACCACGGACTGCTAGGAGTGAAGTCCATTTCTTTAACATAGATAACAAAATATGCACGAAAATCCTTCCATAGATATGTCCGAAGATAATTTCATCATTTTTTGTCTCTTATGACTTTAGGACTGGGTTCGAATCTCTTCTTGTGACTCCAGACATGTTTTCAGCATGCAATATACTTTAGCTTGCTGAACAGCAGTGTAGTTATTGTTTACAGAAAAATTTCTAAATGATCTTTGATACAAGAAGTATACAGATGTTTGTAGATAAACTCATTTCATGGCAATAATAGCATTGAAATATAATGTATATATTGTGTTCTAGTTTGTAGGAAAAACTACAAATTTTGATTTTTGTTAAAAATTTGTATGAACTAGAATTAGCATTTGCCGGGGGGAAGGGAAGTAATTCAATGTGCATTTGCATGTATTATAATAGAAACTCTCTACACAGCCTTATGCTGTTAGACAATATTCACTTTCCACATTTTTGCTGTGTCTAATTTATTATTGTTAATACCATGGATTATAGGGTACATGATTTCTGAGGATGAAATTTGTTATTTTCTATCAACATGTAAGATATACATTCATTTTAATTGTCAGTGATATATTTTTTCTCTGAAATAAAGATATGTTTTTCCAAAACCATCAAAGTATATTTTTTTTATTGTTTTGACATATTCTACAGTGTGACATCTATCAAACCAGAGGTTTACATAAGTAATTGTACATTATATGTCTGTAGAGAATTTACTCACGATTAGTACATTCACAACATATCCTGCATGTTCATGAGAGATTGAAAGAAGAGAAAAGAAGATGTATTATGAAACACTATCCTCCCGGTTGCAACAAATTTCTGAAGTGTGACATTAAAACTGTTTTTTTTTTTTTTACTTTCAAATGTAGGTCAAAGGTCAAAGTGTCAAAGGTCACGGTCAAGGTCATATGGTCAAAAGTGGTACCACCAGAAAGGTCTTGTCACAAGGAACACACATGCCAAATATGAAAGCCATACCTCTTATGATGCAATGGTTATGACCAATGATATAAATTGTTCATATGTAGGTCAGATGTTCAGGTCAATGTCACGAAGAACATACATGCCAAATATGAAAGCCCTATCTCTTACGGTACAGAAAAAGAGATAATACATTAGTATCAGCACTGGTTTTTCTTCTCTGGCACTGACTTGCAGTGTCATGTGAGGAAAGTTACCCTTAACATCCGCCTGATGGTGCAATGAAAGTAAAACTGTTCTACAGCCAATAACATTTGAATTATTAAAGATTTATTAGTGCAACTTCAACCTTATATGTATCACCCAGTGTTCTGTAAAGTGTCGTGTAATTAGGTCACTGCGATTTTAACATCAAGGTCAAAGGCCAAATAAGTGCCTAATTTGCACTGAAGACTTGTCCAACTTTTGAATGGTTATGAATTGATTCATTAGAATTAAACTGTACATGCATCACCCCAAAGTGCTGTGTAGTTAGGTTTGTGTTATAGCTAGTTCAAGATAAATGATCCAATATATTCATTTTTTTTTCTTGTTTTTTTCTTTGCCATCACTTTTGGATCAAAACTGATATATTCTGAAATTGTTAAAACTTGAAAGTCATCTTATTGCACGTCAGTGTTGTCAGGTCAGAGGTCAGAATAAAAAACCTAGAAAAATTTTACTGGTATTAGATTTGTTGTAGTGTTGTGAATCCAAGCTGATCAAACGCATTTGCCAAGACATGGTGATAAGTTACGGCCAATTTACTAAACTACTTCTCAATTTCGTTATTAAAGGTCAGTTTCTAAGACTTAAAACTGGTTCATATTTCATGACACGATGGAGCAATGTTGATCTAACTTGAGTGAATGATGCAAAATCAAACATCTAGGTCCAGGTAAAATCTTTATCACATAGCTGATAAATTAAGCTACGATATGATAGATAAAACATTCTTAGGAGTTTAAAGAGTAGTCACTATGAAATATCATAAATCAAGATTATGGGTTAAATTTCAAAATGATCTCTTTAGTGGTAAATATTTCTGATGAACAGGATCATATTTTTGTAAAAATATGTGGACATTTTGTTTTGTTCACAGAAGCATTGTTCTTGATCATTATATTGTATCTTAAAATCAATGGACTGAGTGGAAAGTGTGATCGAAATGAGATATATGCATATATGGAACATTTTAAGAAAAGTACAGGAATAAATAATAAGACCAGGTGTTCCAAAAGGTGGATACCAACGCTGATGATAGAAGTCATTATTATCGAAGGCTTTGAAAAAAAATGTCAAATAATTGAAGATTACAAAAGAGCGACACCCAACTTCGAATCTAGTACAACATACCGTTTTGCGACAACGAGATTAGTTTTAAGTCCATCGAAGGGTTAAACTAGTCTTCTTGTCTTATTCACAAGGTGTCGCACATTGAACCTTCACATTTGTTATGAAATGTTTAAAGGGTGCAGACAGCGATACTGAGCGTACCCCTGGAGTAATGAGGTGCTGGGAGCAATAATGATTACATCCTAGAATAGGATGTCAAAGAGAGAAAAAAAAAGCTTTTTTGTTCGGCAACAGCCAAACAAATAAGACATTGCCGCATGAAAAGATATTAGAATTGCTATTTAACGATAGTTATGCGGAATCTATCTACAAATACACATTTACATTTGGAGATCGTAGCTCTAAGCATAATGAGACTTTCATCTCATGTAAAAGGACATCTGTGTAAATCCTTCTTTGGAAAAAAAAGAAAGATGACACAAAATACACACAAAGATTTTATTTTATAAACATTTGAGAAAAAACTTAAAATTCGAAATAATCGTGATCTTGGCATCAAAAGGAATTGCTTTGTGAAGATATATAACCAGAGTCCCGATTAACCAGGTCCCGTCAGATTATACACTTAGTCGTATCGTTTGAGGAGAACACCAGTGAAAGTGGAGTCACGGTGGACCATTTGTCCACTGACATCCTCCACCCACACATGGTCACCCTCCTCTAGTCTTATCACGACAGAGGCCGAGCACGCGGAGTCTGCTAGCCAAGCGCTACAATATACGTTTACTGTATGAACGCCGTTTTTAACAATGTCCGTGTCCAATTTCTTGCCAGCATAAACGTTAAAAAGACTAGCACTGAACATGTACAGGCCGCTAAATGGCGCCAGGAACTTGCCAGTAGAGTTTTCATAGTAGCCTCCCTGGTTCGTAATGTGATTCTGGAATTGTATGGGATGTGACACTCCTGGATTCAGGTGGGCGTCTCCAGCCTTGACGGTGAAAGCAATACTGTCGGACACTGCGAAAGAGAAGAAAACAACGGATATTTGACGGTCGAGTAAAGGTTTTCTAAATATTGTTCTTACACTTATATGATTTATGGTTTATTGTTAAATTGTCGATCTACATTTTACACTGTGTTATAGTAAAATCAAAAAGTACCTCTGCAAGTAGTTTTTTTCTCCCTGATGATTAAATAGAACGTTTTTCCTAACCTAAATCTTTCGTTAAAGAAGCTGTAAATGTCGTTTTCGATAAAAAAAAAAGGTTTTAAAGAACGTAGAGAAGCATCACACAGTATAAGCTGTGACTAGATAGTGGATGTGTACTAGACGATACTGAATACCTAAAGACAATCCTTAACTTAAAGAATGGAGACATTCAGTATTAATCTTGTTTACAGTGTTGAAAAAATATATGTGATTTCAAGTCCGTAAAATGCTGTTATCATCAGTATTTACCTACGGTTTTGACATCTCATCGTTGTGTTTGGTAATTATATTCAAATGTTAAAGAGAAACAATAATGTAAAATGACATGTTCACAACATTTCTAATCACGGGTCTCCTTGTAATAGTTTTGGTTGACTACCTAATTGAAAGACATGCGGGAGGTCCGCACATGTTATATTGAGCAAATTGAGTAGAATGTTTGCCCAAGGACAAAAGCCTGATCGCGACTGTGCAAGACCTCAGCTTCCTGGGTAAAACGAATTGCTTCAAACAAGGATCGAGTTTTACACTTTAATTTTGCAATCACAGTACAATTGACGCAAAAATTTGAAATGACACACGTCATATGAAAATAAAACATGAATAATTATCAAAAACGGAAAACAGATTGGATTTTTACCTGAGAGCCTAACAGCAGGTAGCGCCGAGGCTTGGATGTTAGCAAGAGAGCCAAGCAAAAGGAAACTGACAGCAGTGAATACCTCCACGGCATGCATGGTTGTTTGGAGACGAAGTTGGAATATTGTGTCGATGGTTGAACGCTTCACAATAAATGATACCTTCCTTCACACCTTTGTCGGTCGGACATCAACCCTTTAGGATGTGATGAACCTTGGGTATACATCAGAAATACATATATTTATTAAGAGTAAATAGAGATTTCGATCTGGGGCAAGCTTTTCGATAACAACCTCTTCACAGTCTCTTACAAAGGCTCTGTAAGACTTAGATAAAGTACCCTGTAAATTTTCCGATGTATTCGTAATCCTTCAATCCATTGTATTTCATAATTTATGTATGCTGTGTTTCCCACTTTTTTAATATAAGTTCTATAAAAAGATCGTTCTGCCCTTGATGTGTCAACAGGGATGTCATCAATTCGATTTATTGATAACAATTTTTCATCCCAGCCCAACAACGCGTTGATTTATTCATCAATAACGACAAGTTATGTGAAAACCTTTGATAGAACGATGCCCTTTAATATCTCACTGAAACGTCTAAAGCATTAACCGAAATCGGAGTGACCGAATTCGGGGTAAAGCTGGTCAAAGTCTTGTTAGTGCAACGAATTGTGACGTCTACCAACACTGCATCCATTTAATTGACATATTAAAGTTATGGTTCCAACACAGAAAGTCTAGACCATTTCGATAATTTTTTTTAATAACAGACACTTTTGAGAAAAATATTCCAAAGAAGAGAACGACTCTTAAATCGTGACAACTAGACTGCGATAGCTTTCTGCAAAATTTTATCTTGATGGCCTCGTGGATTTCTTGATTTATGTGTTCCGGGTCTTGCTTGTGATTGTGTTTACAGGTAGAAGTTTTAATATGTAGGTCTTTCTGACCGTTTATAAAGCATATTTGGTAGGACAGCGGAGTTGGAAGCATGTCTCTGATAATATTGATTGCTGGGGTATTGGTCTCTTGTGCTTACGGACAGAGTGGTGAGTATAAGTGTGAATCAAAATGTTACAGAGGTCTGGGTGAAATAGTATACTTTAGTGGTATTTACTGGTAAATAATATTATATTTCAATATATACTTTTTTTCAAATTTACTTACTATCCTCACGCTTTTAACGGACTCTAGATGGATACTGATTTTAAGTGCGTGTCTGTTTGCTGTCCTTGTAAGTTGATTCAAAACCTGAACAATGATGAAACATTTCCTTAAGTTCTAACAATAATTACATTATCAAAGATGCCCGTGAACACAAATTAAATCCTTTGATTTCGACAATTTTCAATTGATATGTACATTTTACTGCAATACCGGTATTAGAAACGGAACGCTTGGTGAACGCCATTGTTGATTAACGTTTTAGGAAAACTGTGATGTCATTCAATTTCATTTGCTCTACATCCGGCGGAAGATAGATAAATGACTCCTGGCTTTTCACTAAGTTACATGTGGCTTCCCAATGCCTTACCGGTAGCTTTCCAAAAGGTTACGAAGAGTGTTAACTCCATAACCTGTATATTCCAGAGCGAACCTGTTTATTTTGTTGGTTTGGTTATACATGTAGAAACACTTGTCCTTTAATTAGTTTTGGTTTGTACTATTATTCCTGTATCATAAAGTCCTTTTAAAATGTTTCTTTTGTTTACGCGTAGGAGAAATTTACATGGATGAGCGCAACCCTATTGATTGTTATATTTTGAATACATCGTTAGTTGCTTTTTTATATAAAAAAAAATATGTCGAATGTTAAAAGAAAATTTATTTCATCCTCGATTCCAACCCAAAGACTTCTTGAGAAATGATTACACTGTGTTGATGCATTAAAAACATACATGGCTTGGCAATATAGTGTTTCGTACAGAAGAATATCCATTACCTGTTGGTGTAAAATGAGTCAGAAATAGACCAGACTACACAGAGTGCAATGTCGGAACATAGATTTTCGTTAATGAGACATATTTCATGTTTTTTCTTCTTGTTGGCAATTTTACTTCATGTCTGTACCGTATTTGGAAAATCCTCTTTGCAAGAGTATAGTATCACTATCTTATTACTTATGTGATAATAAGATGAACATCGCTTCAATATCATTTCTTTTTTTTTAAGTTTTCATATTCTAATCCAAAAGTTATTCCGGTGAAAGATCAAAGCTATTTTTGAATGCTATTTTATTAAGACTTTAACGAAATAAATATTGTCCTACTGTTTCAGTTGGCAACGATATTGCCTTCACTGTGAAAGCAACAAACAATGGCAATGTCGATCTAAGTCCCGGAGTCGGAGATGTCGTCAAATTCCGGACGGAGATCACCAACTATGGAAACGCATTTGATACAGCAACAGGCATTTTTACAGCACCCGTGGACGGCATGTACCTGTTCAGTGCCAGTATGTATAATGTCTTCGCGGGTCAAAAACTCGACACGGATATCCAGAAAAATGGCGTACCGGAAGTGAATATGTATTGCAGTGCCTCTATACAGTACAGCGCATGCTCCGCCACCGTGGTCCTCAGACTGGCAACAGGCGACAGGATTTGGATCAGTGACAACAGTGGGCAGATGGTGGATCATGACTCCAGCTTTATGGGAGTTCTGCTTAATAGCTAAGCTCTGTATCTAATCTTAATATTTTTAGGTTTTGCAACCTGATTTTATTTCTAAATGTATGAATCATTTTATTTCACATTATGTAGATCCGGACAGACGCTCAACGTGGACATAATTAAAAATCAAATGAACATTATCACAAAGATGAAAAAACTGTTACGGATGAAATAAACAACTTTTAAAAAAAAAAATCATATGTTTTCTTATACTGTGAACGCACTCCGTAATTTCAAGCTATGTTATGAGCAGTACCAAAACTTTAATTCAAGTTTAAAATATGCCACCTAATTCACAATAACATTGTATATAAAAATGCATATTTACGTTAACAAAATCAGACTCTATAAAGTTTAGTTTAAATGTAAATAAATGCTTAAACCCTTTTTGTCGATCAATATCATTCGAGTAGTTTTTTGCAGCAATATCTTTCAATACTATCAAGTGTGTGGAATACTATGTGTTATCTCCAATATGTATCAGAATCTCGATAGTGGGGACATAGTCTGCCCTCCTTACTTGTTGTTTGCGAAGCAGCATGTAAAAAGTGATGAAGACACTATATCGTCCAGAAGATCGCTTCTGTATGGTAACAGGAAACGCTCAACCTATATTGAATATCAACATCACATACAAAAATAACCGTTTAAAGGTCGCTATATTAGCCTATGTCGTACAATAGTTTGATAAAATATCTTATGCTTCGAAAAATTCACACACGAACTGATAATGATATCATGTTGTCATCTCTCTTATCACGTTTACAAACGGAACACAACCTGTCCTCCATATTGACACATTACTATTGATAGGGATGTGTTTGAAGTCCTAACTTAACATTAGATATATATATTTGTAACACTGAGCACATGGACTGATTACTTCAACTTGTTCAACCGCTTATCATCTGGTTTTATAAGTGATTGGAAATTTTCTGACTTTTGTCTTTCTTTTTTATTAATTCATCTTTTATATTAATGAATATAGACATTCAGAATGGAGATTTCGTTCACACAAAAGCTTTTTCATCTTGAAGCGCTTCTTAACGTTTTTCAATGTACTGCGTCAGTCTTTCCTTTTACAAAGACTCGGAAAACGAATTATAAAAATTGTCTAGAAAACTACTTTCATAAGCATTCAGAATCAATAATAACAATGTTATACCGACATCAATAGCAAAATAGATATTCTACCTCAGAAACAATGAAACGAATGCGAAACAAGACGTTTCAAAAGTCACAGAAACCAAAGAAAAATTAAAAAGGACCATATGTTCCAGGAAGATAAGCGTCTCCTGTTTGGTGAATGACATCAATGAGACGACACGAAATCTGGATTGATTCCGAAATGAATCCTTAGAGTACCATACTTCAGCAATATCAGATGAATGACTTGTTTTGATTTAATTCATAACTCTGAATGTCAAATAGCCTTGGTCTGGATTTATATCCTAATTCAGCCGAAATGTTTGAAACTGAAAAATTCGGCATCTGTTGTTTAGTTCTTCTGAGAGCTGTTATATCTAGCAAGCTGTATGATTAGCGTGATGATTTCAATTTCCTTATAGTGAATTTTCCATTCCTTGATAGCAACAGTCCTACTACCCAATCTATAGTGTTTGCATGTCACAATTGATTCGATATTCGCGAGCCGGTTCCCGATTAAACGATTTCCGTACAAGATATCGTCGACTGACAGACAAACTCATAACACTGGTTATCATAAAAAAAAGTGTTATGGTCGTCATTCATTGAGAAATATTCTTTGCGGAAATGAAAGTTACTTTATTTGCAAACGCCTGTTTGATTGAGTTAAACCTTTTGAGTTTCGAAAAATATTCACTGTATGAATATATTAATTTCTGTAAAGGCGAATGGAATCTGGAAAAGTTTCCAGAGCGTACATCCCACATGTTGTGAATGTGCTTCACAATTTTGAATGGATTGATATTTACAATTTCCCTTAACGTCAATGAAAATTCAAAGTGAAAAAATCTGCATTAAAGATGATCGAAAACTCGACTCCCCTGTAAACCATACATACTGTTAACATATTCGTTGTGTACAATATCCTGCCTGTAACAGGTGTTCTCTATGCTCTCAGCCTTTCGTTGACGCCATTATGTATCATTGCTCCTCTTGTGAGTACACCAGTGACCCTCAAACAAAATTACATCTTAATAAGAATATAATATGTTGGTTCTCTAAATTTGCACTCGATGAACTTTTTTCCCTTTTCCATGCTATTATTTGTTAACTTCCTTGTCATGTAAATATTTCTTTCTGGAAGAAAAAACGGATTTAAATATGATGATATCGATATTCGTACCGTATAACAGATAACAGTTATTTGTACAGTCTAATGAGAAAAAAAACCAACTACTATCGAAGTACAAATATACAGATGTGATATACCTTTATCATTTACACTACTAGATTTACAGACGTATGGACAAGTTAATAAACACATATATTTCTAATCGGTCATAAAGAGTATTACATAATATAGAATGACGCCATCTTATCACAATAAATTGCACTCGTGTATCTGAAGATAGCAAGGCTGGTTAAGTATATTAAATAATAACATGACACATCATGTCCTTTCAGATAAAAATACCTGTTCTCGGAAGAGAAAAATAATAATTTTTATCAAAGAGGAAGGTGTACAGCCCATCCATATGAACTGTGTCTAGCTGGCAACATCATGAGCAGCAGAGGAATTCACCTTGTGGTTACCGTCATACTAATCTTCTTTTCTGGAGCTAGTGCCTCGACAGGGTAATGATTCGTTTCTACTATATCTATAAAAAAAATGACGACGAAATGTATAGATTATTTCTGATTTAAGAAATATCAATTTGTAAGCTACATATAAAACGACAACATGTAGAGGAGGTTGAACACTTCTTGATTATAGAAGAAAGCAAATATTCTATATTTATCACATAGTCAATGATTTTCATGGGGAATTTATTTTCGTGGAATTGATGAATACGAATGTATATGTCCATTAAGCGATAAATTGAAAAAACCATGACATGGATAAAGGTACTAGTAGATTTGGTGAGCAAGATTTATCCACGAAAACACGTGCCAAATATAATGCAAGTTTTGTAAAACCACGAACTTGGAGCTCAACGAAAATATACGCTTTTACAGTACTGGACAAAATATTGTGTTGTACAATAGATATTGAACTTAAGATTAATGATTTAGCATCTTCGTTATCTTAAACCGAATAAGTGTTAATGTCGACAAAATGAGCTCTTTACTCACACTAGTGATGTTGAATAAGGATTTTAAAATTAGTATTCGCCCAGTGGTTCTGTTGTTGTAGACACTGTTCTCTTTTGGGAATGTCAATTACTTGGATAGACCAAATTTGTCATGCAGGGTGTTGGCGGTGAAGACGAAAACGCTTACCCTTTTGGTCTTATTTCTGTACCTTTTCAGGGGCTCGGTGAAAATCTTTCATTTGTTCACAATTCAAATTTCATTGAATATGAATTAAGATTAATACAAATATATATATCAAACGAAGAATGTTTTGGTCCGCGAAAGCTATTAAAATGTATTTTGAATGTTGATGTAAATTGCAACACTTTCATAATCAGGCTTATTCTGACCGAAATTTGTTTAGGTACACTGAAACAGCGTGGAAGGAGATAATAGAAGATTCATCTCAGTGTGTGGAATGGAGTGTAATGTGTGACACCACCAGACAGCAACTGGCGTGAGTGAATTCTTGTCCACAAACGCTTGTCGCGTAAACTATTCATTTTTTAACCATATTATTGGCAATCACTATGCTTTGTTTCTTCGCGACGTCTTCCGAGGTTAACCCAACTTATTCGAACTTAAATGAAAAAATATAGAATATCATATGTGAGCTACATGATTGTCATGCGATTCCCAAATTTCGATAAATGTATTATGGGATAACTTTTGCGTATGTCCGTTCGTCCGTTGGTTAAAAATTTGTTCAACTTTTGGGTTAGTTTTATAAAGACGCTAGATGTCAGACAAAACTACGAAACGGCGATTGTAAAAATAATTATTCTGATTCTTCCCAAAAATTTGCAGCATTCTTAGGGACGTTTTTGGACAAGTGTTTCTAAGTGTCTACAGTTTAGTAAGTTTCTGTAAAAGAATGTCCTTACTATTCGTTTTGTTTGTTTGTTTACTCTGTTAGTTGGTTGCTTTCTTAGTTGGCTTTCTTCCTTCCATCCTTCCTTCCATCCTTCCTTCAACCAACCAACCCAACAACCAAAATGTTTATCCTTTTCTCTTTTCTTTTTTGATATATTTCATTTCCTCTACCTTTGATGATGTTGTCTTGTTTTTATATTTCTATCCTTTAGTTGTTGTCGATCTGAGGTTTTACCAGTACGACGGTTTGAAGAGGTAACAAGATGTGCTGAAGGATATATAGAGGACAGTAATGGAAGCTGCAGTATACGTAATGAATTACATTCTAAACTCAACACGAATCCTAATAATCTGAATCATTTTGATTCCTTGGATCAGATGCTTATATATCTTGTATTTATGACTAAGAAATACGGATGTAACCAACGATTATCAACCAGTTAACAACAAGTAGTATCATGTCGTGACAGAATGTTGGTTACTACTATATATTTCCACAGTTCTTCATACCGAAAATACACTTTTTATTTTCGGAAGTCAATATCCATTTTTTCGTGTATAGACAATAATCGAAATGTTTGTTCATTTACTTTGCTTTGAACTAAGATAAGTTAATAATATGACAATTTTAAAAATCAGATGCCTGCGATCCTTGTCCATCACATACATATTGTTTAACCAACGGATCATGTGCCAGTAAGTATAGAAAACCACATATAATCTTCAAATTAAAAGATTCTGAATTAATATAAGCCTGAAAAATTTTCAATATATGCTATTTGGTTGGTACTTTATAAGTTTCTTATAAATATTTATGCTTCTACAATTCAAAAACAAGGTATTTGGACTTTA